CCAACAAAGATCATTTAGAGACAAGATGTATCACTCCATAGCTAAAACAAAGCCTTCAACACAGGGTGAAAAGAGGAGCTGCAGCTAAAACTATTAAATATATTTCACACAAAAGGAAAAAAATATAGAAAGGTCCAGAAGAAATGTAAGTAACATAACTTTGCAACCCTTTTGCAACACTCCTGCAATCCCAATCAATGAATGCAATCCCTCAGCTTTATCTTGTGATACATAAAAGAGGTCAGAATAATCCGTTTAATAGGTCAAAACAAGTAAGGAAAAAATAATAATATAAAAAGGTTTATAAATGCCACATATTTCAAACATCATCATAAAATATGTTAAAGGTTGTTTGTGTAATTGGTTTGGTTTAGAGATTTTAATATGTGATTGTGATTTACCCTGACAGGTTGCTTGTTTATAACCAGGTAACCTCTCCATAGACTCAGTACCTAAGACAGAGAGACATGGTTAGAAGGAGAGACAGACAGATATGGGACAGACAGGTCAATGGTTGTATGTTGCTTTTGATGTACAGTACCAGAGTTATTGTGTTTTAATTTGTGTTAATTTGAGGTTTTAAAATTACATTTGCCTCTCCGGGAATCATCACCTTATTGTGGTGAGAGTTTGTGTCCCTATGAACCTGAGTTCTGTGTTATTTGGAGCTTGTTGCTCCTGGCAGGGTCTCCCATGAAAAAGTGGTCTTGGCGGAGGGGCCAGACTAACAATAACAATATAGACATATTTACAAATAGTGCAGTGAGCAGAGTGCAAAGGATGCAAGAGTAAAGTTATATTATCATTAATTATGTACATGTCGGAGGTGGATGTGATATGCAGGTACACATACACATGCATGCATACATGTACACATGTAGACAGTGCGATGGAGCATAGTGCAAGGATGCTGGAATAAATAAGATAGTATTTTGTGCAAGTGTTTGAACTTGAGGTAGGTGGGTGCACAGGAATTGTTCCTGACACTGTGAGTCAGAAATCAGCTGTTCATCAGAGTGATGGCTTGTGGGAAGAAACTGTTCCTGAGTCTGTTGGTTTTGGCGTACAGTGCTCTGTAGCGCCTACCAGAGGGGAGAAGTTGGAACAGGTTGTGTCCGGGGTGAGATGGATCTGCAGTGATGTTTCCTGCCCGTTTCCTGGCTCTGGAAATGTATAAGTCCTGAACGGAGGGCAGGTTGGCACCGATGATCTTTTCTGCAGTCCTGACTGTCCGTTGTAGTCTGCTGCTGTCCTTTGTGGTGGCAGATCCAAACCAGACAGTGATGGAGGTGCAGAGGACAGACTGGATGATGGCTGTGTAGACCTGGATCAGCAGGTCCTTAGGCAGGTTGAGCTTCCTGAGCTGACGCAGGAAGTACATCCTCTGCTGGGCCTTCTTGATGATGGTGTCAGTGTTGGGCTCCCACTTCAGGTCTGAGATATGGTGGAACCCAGAAACCTGAAGGATTCCACAGCAGACACAGGGCTGTTGAGTATGGTGATGGGGGGTAGAGTGGGGGGGCTCCTCCTGAAGTCCACGGTCATCTCCACAGTTTTGAGCATGTTAAGCTCCAGGTTGTTCTGACCGCACCAGAGAGCCAGCTGATCAACCTCCCGTCTGTAGGCTGACTCCTGAGGTGCAGTCGTTGGTGTGGGGAGAGCACACACCCCTGGGGGGCGCCAGTGCTGTTAGTCCGGGTGCTGGATGTGATGTTCCCCAGCCTCACCTGCTGACTCCTGTCAGTCAGGAAGTCTGTGATCCACTGACAGGTGGAGGCTGGCACAGTGAGCTGGGTGAGTTTGGTGCTGACGATATCCGGGATGATGGTGTTGAACGCCAAGCTGAAGTCCACGACCAGGATCCTTGCATTTGTCCCTGGAGAGTCGAGGTGTTGCAGGATGTGATGCAGACCCAAGTTGACTGCATCATCAACTGACCTGTTAGCCCTGTAGGCAAACTGCAGGGGGTCCAGCAGGGGGCCTGTAATGTCCTTCAGGTGGGCCAACACCAGTCTTTCAAAGGACTTTATGACTACAAATGTCAGGGTGACAGGCCTGTAGTCATTTAGTCCAGAGATGGAGGGTTTTTTGGGATGAAGTCCAATATTTATTTATTTGTTTTTTATTTTTTTTATTTTTATTTTTTTTATTATCTTTTATTGAAAAAGCATGTTGAATTTCACAATTGTTCGACATATGGAGTACATTACGTTGCTTTACCATTTTTAACTTTCTATTACATTAACATCAGAACTCAGGTGTGGGTGGGGGGAAACCAAATTACTTCCATAATATCTATGTTATTCATTTTACCTTTCGAATCTGTGCACATTTAGTAAGAAGCAGCAGTGATTACAAAAAAAAATCTGATCTAACAGGCTTAACATATTCCGTCCACTTGGACCATATCCTATAGAAAGTGTCCCTCTGCACTTTGAGTGAAAAGGACAGTTTCTCCATTGTGTAGATCTCTTGCACAATGTTTATCCAGTCCTCAGTTGTTGGTGGTTCTGGTTTGAGCCATCTCCTCGTTGTAACCCATTGTATGTATGTATATGTGTTCCCAACATTCTTTTGCGATTTTCAGATTACCTTCTTTTTCCCATTTCGCTTTGACATAGTGTGTGCTGTCTTTTTTACACCGCAGGATGCTGTTGTATAACCTGGATATAATTTTGTTTTGTGCCCCTAATTTTGGAGTTAATGATATAAATGTTTCCACGAATCCTAGGTTGTTTAAATTCACTTTCAGGTCCTGGTTAAAATAGTGTCTGATCTGAAGATACCTGAAGTCAGCAGAGCCTAATCCATGTTTTCTTTGCAAGGATACAAAATTGGAGTGCCCCCTTGTGGACAAATGAATAATGATCCGTCAATCCTTTTAAAATCCAATTTTTAAATCTATCGTCATGCTGATTCGGGGTAAAATACGAATCGTACGCACACCATTTTAGGATCTTTGAAGTGTCTTCCAAACCACAAATCTAAAATGCTTCATTCCAAGCAGCTATCATTACATGTGAAATGGGTTCATCTGTTAAAAGAATCTTATTCTGCAATTTGATGTCAGCTAATAAAGCTTTAACTGGTATTGCTTCAACAGTTGTCCCCTCCACATCTTTCCATCCTGCAGTGTAATATGAAGAACACAAACATATTAATGGTCTTAACTGTGCAGCACAATTGTATTCTTGTAAACAAGGAAGACCACAACCTCCTTTATCTTTCTTCAATTAATTCTGGATTTCTTCCCTTTCCAAATATATTTCGACAGCATTCTATCCCACTCTACAAATTGTTTTTGAGGTATGAATATTGGTAAGCACTGGAATAAGTAGAGCATTCGGGGGTGAATATTAATCTTATTGAATCAATCCTGGAACGTAAATCCAAAAAAGGTATGGTATTCCATCTTTGTATATCCAATTTTATTGCTAAATACAAAGGGCCATAATTAGCTTCAAACATTTTAGCGAAGTCTCGGTGTAATACCACCCCCATTTCCATTTATAACTATCCTTGATTTCTTCTGGCGGGTCATAGTTCAGAGTTAATACCTGTGTTTTATTTACATTAACCTTGTACCCTGAAAAAGAGCCATATTCTAGTAGTAGTTCAATGATTTTAGGAACAACCTGTGTGGGGTAAGATATAGTCAATAGTAAATCATCAGCAAAAAGTGCCAATTTTTGCTCCCCACCTACTGTTCTTACTCCAGTTATATCCTTTCTCTGCCTGATCCACTGGCTTAGAGGTTCGATAAACAAGGCGAAGAGGAGAGGCGAGATGCAACACCCTTGTCGAGTCCCGCGTTCCAATCTGAATTTCAGTGAGGTCTCCGTTAATTTTGATTCTAGCAGTTGGGTTATTGTATAACCCTGAAATAACATCAATTCCAGATTTATCAAAACCAAATTTTTCAAGCACCTTATATAAAAAGGACCACCTCACCGAATCAAATGCCTTTTCGGCGTCTAAACTCAATACTAAGGTCTCTAATTTTTGCTTATCAACCTGCCTCATTATGTGTATAACCCTCCTAATGTTGTCTTGAGTCTGTCTTTGTTTGATGAAACCTGTCTGATCTTTATGTATTAACCCTGGTAAAATTGTTTCTAATCTTCTTGACATGATAGAGGTGCAACTTATAGTCTATATTCAGAACACTAATAGGACGATAGTTGCAGTAGTACATTGCAATCCATCCTTTCCTTCCTTTGGGATGATAGAAATTAGTGCTTCATTCTATGAGGGTGGGACGATCTTATTGTCCATCACCCAATTAAATGTTTTCAGCAACGTTGGGGCCAAAAAATCCTGCATTATTTTGTACCATTCCAGACCAAATCCATCTGCCCCTGCCATCTTCCCTCCCTTCAATCTTTTAATTGCCAACTGAATTTCTTCTTTAGTTATTGTGGATAATAACTTTTTATTTTGTTCCTTTGTCACTGTTGGTAACTCAAGTTCAGACAGGAAGGTATTAATATCCTGGTCATTGTCTATATGAGGTTGAGAATATAGTGTCTTATAATACTCCAGAAAGAATGAGTTTGTTCTGTATGTCCATGGTGTTCAAATCATCTATTTCTTTTTTCAATTTTATTATATCCGATTTAATATTACCATTATGAGACCCAGAGTGTTGGTGTTGCAGATCTAACAATTTGTCTTCTAAGTGCCGGAGTTTTTGCAGACCTACTTTTTTCAGGTGAGAGGAAATACCAATTATTTTCCCCCTAATCACTGCCTTAAGTGTATCCCATAGTGTTCCCGGTGACACCTCGTCCTTATCGTTATATTCTAAGTACTCCTCTATATCTTTCTTCAAGGGCTCTTTAATATTTGGGTAATAAAGAATGTTTGTGTTCAACCTCCATAAGGTGGATCTTTTCTTCCTGTTCAGGCAGATATCAGCGTAGACCGGGTTATGGTCTGATATAGTACAGGGACCTATTTCACAATTTTTTTACCCTGAGGAGATCAGTTCTAAACATGAAGATATAGTCTAACCTTGAGTAGACATTGTGTGCGCATGAATAGTGGGTATATTCCCTATTGGTTGTATGGCAGTCCCTCCACACATCAACTAATCCTAATTCGTCCATCAGGTGTAATATTCTTTTCCCAATGTTTCTCGAATCACCTTTCCCGTTTGAAGAATCTAATTTGGCGTTTAGTTTAGAGCGCCGTGCACTAAGATCGCCACACCTCTTCGCCTCCCCGAACTGTGAGAAAAATAAAAGACATGTTTAAAACCAAGCTTGTTCAGTTTTTCATGTTCGCTATCCGACAGATGTGTTTCCTGCATAAAAACAACCTGAGCTTTATCTCTTTAAGGTTAGATAGGGCTTTCCACCTTTTACCGGATTGTGTAGGCCATTAATATTGATTGATACCATTTTCACTGATCTGCTACTCATCTAAATAATAGAACGATTACACCCATTCTAATAGGCTCCCCACACACCCTTGTAAACACTGAACATGGAACACATGAACAAATAACATCAAAAAAAGACAAAAATCAAACTGAAGTAGTTCTAACTTCCAAGTTAGGGGCCCTCGTGGTGGACCCTGCTTCGCCTTCAAGGGCAACTTCTTCATCAGTCGGTGGAGGAGGCCCTTAAAAGCTAAGGCCTCACTGAGAAGAACACCCTCCAAAAACCTTACTTATCTGCTTATTGCACACCATTAAACTGAATAACAGTTTTTTTAAGTTGTAAGAAAAAGAAACAGCAAAGTGGATAAACCTCAATTTCCCGAAGGCGTAGGTGACGTCCTCCTGAAGGCTCTGAGCTTTTCTTTGTAACCGGAGTCCCGCCTCTTGTTCGCTGTGCTGCTCCCCGCTCCTCTGCCAACTCTGCTCCAGGTCAGCTGCTTCAGTTGCTCCAACGCTGTTTCTGGTGATGTGATGACCTTCACCACATAGCCTCTACTGGACATATCTGCAGTAGCTTCCACAACTGTGTTGTAGATTTTGGTTTCTTCCGTGTATTTCACCTTTAGCCTAGCTGGAAAGAGAGTCTGAAAGGGGATCTGCTGCTCTTTCAGAATCTTGCGCACCTCTGCGTATTCTCTTCGTTTCTTTAGGATGAGAGTAGGGTAATCATGGTCTAAACTTACTTGTTTGCCATTCCAGGCAAATCCTTTTTCTTCCACGCCTTACGGAGCACAAGTTCTTTGGTCTTAAAGCTGAGGAATTTCACAATAATAGAGCATGAGGGTGCGTCGTCTGGCGGTGGTGGGCCTAGAGAACGATGCGCCCGTTCGATGCACATGTCAAGCTCATCTTGAGACATCTCCATTGTTGGAGAGTCCCGCTCTGCTGTCTCGGGTACACCGTAGATGCGGACGTTTTCTCTTCTCGTGCGGCACTCCAAGTCCATTAATTTATCCTCCAATCTTATTTGTAACTTTATTATTTCCGTCATGGCATCCTCTGTGTTCTGAATCCTCTCCTCCACCTTCTCAATCACTGAAGGACGCTTCAGCCTCATCCATTCTCGTGCTCATCTTAGACATTTTTTCCTTAATTTCCCCCAAACTCACATTGTTTTCTTGGCGAAAGTCCCTCAATTCCTGAAGTACCACATCTATGTTGGCCATATCGTCTCACCATGCGGTAGCAGTCCACCAGTATGCGGCCTCGTGTCGAGCAGTGAATCCCTTTAGCGTTAGCAGGGAAGCTAGCGCTATTTTCCCAGGTTTAAGCACCCACTATGTTGCTCCGTCGAAGCGTTAGTTTTGGTGTATTTCACTTACCCCCTCACTTATCTACCTCTAAACACAAATCTGTATTGTCTTAACAGGGTAAAGTTTTAAATTTCGTAGGTTTCCTTGAGAGCCCGTTCACAGTGCTGCGGTCACGGTGACATTCGAACCGGAAGTCGAAGTCCAATATTTAAGAGCTCTTCTCTAAATTAGAGAAGTATAGTATCTGGTTACCAGAGTACGACGGCAGAAAACACTACGGAGAAAAAAAGCACTACGGAGCGTAATCCAGAGGCTGTCATCCGCGGCACCATCTTGAGTCAAAAGGAAGGAAGAGGAGGAACTACCCTGCACGGAGGAAGCCCGGGGCCCTCGTTTGGAGCCAGGCCCAGAGGGGGGGCTTGTCTGCAAGAGCATGGTGGCCAGGTTAGCCACGGAGCCCCGGCTAAGCACCGTAACATTGAAGTTTACCCCGGTGGACGAAAGGTTTGCATCCCTACGTCTACGGTTGTTGCTGGGGGGAAACTCTGACTGTTGATTGTGCATATGCACCGAGTTCAGAGCAGTTCAGAGTATTCTGCCTTCTTGGAGACCCTGAATGGAGTCCTGTATGGGGCTTCAGTAGGTGACTCCATGGACTTGAAGCTTGTAATATTTTTTTGTATTTTTGTATATTGCAGGAGGTGCAGCGGGATGACGGGATGAGGGGATCCTTATTAAGGGATATCTAATCCCTGTACATTCAAAGCAAGAGCTGTGTATGAATTAAGTAAGTCGGACTCATTCCAGGTGGGGGTTGGCCTCCGCCAGGGCTGCGCTTTGTCACCAATCCTGTTTGTGATATTCACGGACAGGATATCGAGGCGTAGTTGAGGTGAGGATGGGTTGCAGTTCGGTCGTCTGTGCTTTTTGCAGATGATGTTGTCCTGTTGGCATCATTGTTCCATGACCTTCAGCACTCGGTTCACAGCCTAGTGTTAAGCAGCTGGGAGTGAGGGTACAATAGATTGGGAGATTGGCCAGAGAATCGGAGCAGCGGGGGCGGTATGGCATTCGGTCTACCGCACCACTGTGACGAAAAGAGAGTTGAGCCCCAAGGCAAAGCTGTCGATCTAATGGTCACTTTTAATTCCTACCCTCACCTATGGTCATGAAGGCTGGGTCATGACTGAAAAAACTAGACCGTGGATACAAGTGGCCGAAATGGGTTTTCTCAGGAGCGTGGTTGGCTTCTCCCTGAGAGATAGGGTGAGAAGCCAAGTCATCCGTGAGGAACTCGGAGTAGAGCCGCTGTTCCTTTGCGTCGAAAAGAGCCAGTTGAGGTGGTTCAGGTATCTGCTAAGGATGCGTCCTCGGCACCTCCCTAGCAAGGTGTTCCAGACACATCGAGCTGGGAGCAGGCATCAGGGAAGACCCAGGACTAGGTGAAGACGTTATATCTCCACACTGGCCTGGGAACGCCTCGGGATCCCCCAGTCAGAGCTGGTTAATGGGCCTCTGGAAGGGGAGGTTTGGGGTCCTCTGCTGGATCTGCTGACCCCATAACTGGACCCCGAATAAGCAATTGAAGATGGATGGATGGATAGAAATTAGATTTGACTCAGGGCCCCTCAACTATTTAATCCTGCAGTTGTCACCTTAAGGTTATAATCATTTCATGATACTTGATATTTACATATTACTGGACACAATTAAACAAAATACCACAAACCAAGTGATGCACAGTAAACTTAGGGGTTTTTGGGGACCTGAGGGTCTGGCAGGTGCCCACTTTGTGTATTTAGTAATCCAGCCTTGCCTCAGCAGGTCACGATTAAAACATCATTGTCCGTTATTGTCACACTCAATACCATACAATAGGACAGAATAGGACAGAATTGTACAGTCCATCACACCTATAGATATCTAATTTCTGTTTGACCCAAATATATCAAATATATTAACTCTGAACCTGTAATTATTATACCTAGTTTAAATATACCGCAAGCATTTTAAACTTAATATAGATCGAAAGTCTTAATCCATCACTCACCACAAGCCTGTTGGCCGATCTCTGACTGGAGCCTGGACTGGAGTGGTTCAGAACAACAGGAGTAACCACACAGACTCTGTGAGGCTTCAGCAGCTCTAAGATCTGATCTGCTTACAGGGTCACAGACACAAACAGGCACACTGTCATCTGGAAAGGTTGACCAAACTCAAGTACTGTCATAATGACTGCATCTTAATCATCCTCTGCAAATCCCATGTGATCCTTGTTGCATTCTTCATTGTTTTCAAAACATCTGCAACTTTTGGACAAAATGAAGTGTAATTTTCTGGATTAATGTAGACAAAACTTAGAGGAAGAACCCAAAATATGTTCTACATCAGGAAATTAAGTGATTTTGTGCTCAGAAACAGCTGGATTCACAGAGAGATTACAGGTGCATCTCAGAAAATTTGAATATTGTGAAAAAGTTATTTTCTTTACATAATAAAATTCAAAAAGTGAAACTTTCATATATTCCAGTTTCATTACACAGTAAAATATTTCAGGCCTTTTTTGTTTTAATCTTGATGATTACAGCTTATAGCTGATCAAAAATCCATATCTCAAAAATGTTGACCTTCCTAAAAGTTGAACGGTTCTAAAAAAAGGTTCATTTATGTACTCAGTACTTGGTCGGGCTCCTTTAGCATGAATTTCTGCATTAGTGTGGTAAAGCCTGTCAGCAGATGGGAGCATGAAGGGCCCTAAAATCCCTGGTAGATGCTGCATGGACTCTGGACTGGAGAAAAGTGGACCAACACCAACATATGACTCGGCACCCCAAATCATCACAGACTGTAGAATATTTACACAGGACTTCAAGCAACTTGGATTCTGTGCCTCTCCACTCGTCCTCGCCTGGGACCTGGATTTCCAAATGAAATGCAAAATTTACTTTCATCTGAAAAGAGGACTTAGGACCTCTGACTTTGGTCCAGGTCTTTTTCTCCTTAGCCCAGGTAAGACGAGTCTGACGTTGTCTCCGGTTCAGGAGAGGCTCAACACTAGGATCGTGACACTTGTAGCTCATTTCCAGGACACGTCTGTGCCTGGAGGCTCTTGATGCTCTGGCTCCAGCCTCAGCCCACTCCTTGGGAAGCTCCCCCAAGTTCTTGAATCGGCTTTGCTTGACAATCCTCTTGAGGTTGTGGTCATCCCTGTTGCTTGTGCGCCTTGTCCTACCACACTAACCTTCCGTGAACTTTCCATGCACATGCTTTGATCCACCACTCTGAAGAGCCAGCCCTTTCAGCAATGACCTTCTGTGGCTTACCCTCTTTGTGGACAGTGCCACTGTCAGGACAGAAGCCTACCCCATGATTGTGGTTGTGTGTACTGAACCAGAGACATGGGAGACAACCAGGTTGACATTTCTGCATTATACATTCTTTATTTTAATATGTATATATTCTAATAATATATCCTAATATTTTGATTATGCGATCTTTGATTTCCATGAGCTGTAAGCAAATCAAAATTAAAACTTAAAAGGCCTGAAATATTTCACTTTATGTGTAGTGAATTTAGAATATATGAAAGTTTCACTTTTAGAATTACAGAATAAAATTAACTTTTTTACGATATTCTAATATTCTGATATGCACCTGTACATCTGTAGCCTCTCCTGTCCCTTGGCTATATTTTGTTATGGAGCTTCAAAGACATGCTCATGCATATTTCTGCACAGTTTGTGCCTGCTGGTCTTTATAAACTCCTCTGGTAAAAATGTCAGCAATGAAAAACAAGAAAACAAGAAAAACAATTTCAAAATAATCCTGTGGTTTCTGAACTCTTTCCCCTCTCTTTGCTCAGTTCAGAACATTGTTGACTAACCACAGACTGAGTCATATTTTCTTCTTTTTGTCAGTTGATGTCACTAACTGTTACAGTGGAAACATATCTGTTAGTAGAGGGCAAAGTGGCTAACCTTAAGGCATGAAATTACTTTTGTGCAACTGACTCACTCACATTTGACCTTTGAAACAGCAAACCTAAACTAGACTAAACTGTGCAGATCAGTCCGACGGATGTTTGTGACTTTGGTGCAGTTATTTGTCGTCTCTCTGTGATTATACGCATGTATGAAAGTTATCCCCTTTCAAAAGCTTTTCCATACCTTTGTGAAAAGATCAAATGTTTCCATGTCAGTGTTTGGCATTAAAGCTGCTAATGTTCCCTAACTGACATATTAGACTTATCTATTAGAAACAACACAAAACAATTTAACTGCATCACAAACTACAGCCTCCAGAGTTACCGTAAAGTTGATTTAACCTCTTTAAAATACTTTGAACACAAACTGAACATTATAACCTTCATGAAGGTTGAGGACTGTTGGATTAGATTGCATCAGTGTTAACTAGGTAACTAAATACACATCCAATGGAGTGTAAATATATGTGATTTGTAGTACACAGGGTAAAACATGCAAAAACACTGGTACCATCCTGGTAAATCACTGGGTATTGCCACTGAAGATCAGCTACTGCTCTTTTCTCTCTCTGTTCTGTCTTCAAACTGTCACTAAGATAAAAGAGCATTGATGTTGCTGTTGAAGTTGGCTCATCTTACCTTGCAGGTTCTGTGGTAAGGAGTCCATATTGTAGGTTTCAATAAAACACTGGTACTGACAGAAAAATGCACATAAAGTCAAGCTGTGATCATCTACTGCTCCACCAGTGTCTCACCTCTAACCATCACTGAACTAACCCCTCTGATAACTGGTCAGTGTTTTACACCACAATATCTATACAAAAGGAAGGAATGATGCAGGGAAACATCTAAAAACAACTCATATATGCAGCCTTTTAAAAGATAAATTCTATCTGAATAAGCAGCATACATCTGTAATCATCCAGTGCTGCTGAGGAGTAGAGACGAGAGGAGGAAGGTGTCGGTATGTGGCAACAGAAATGAGAAAATGCAGGGTGAAGCTACCAAAGGTGTGGAGACATGCGGTGCGCACACACACACACACACACACACACACACACACGTCTGCATATAACCTGCTTTTTCTTTTCCACTCATGCATGTGTGCACACACCATAGGCTGTATAAAAAAGGTGCACACACATTTCAACTAGTCTTGCTTATTGTGCACACTTTTGTTTTTTGCTCATGAACTTAGACACACATCCTGTTCCATGTTGTGAGTCACAACTGTAGCGAACGAGGAGAGGACTGAGCTTGCAGGAACCTTGTTTAACCTCCCACAATGAGAAATACACCACAGTCAGGAAATCTGCAGTTTCACAAAGTAAAGCTTCAAACTGTTTAAGACGTGTCAAAATACTGAATATGTAATGGAATTACACTGAAAAAGAAAACATGCTGGCAAATGTATCACAGTGGTTGAAGTAGTTCATGTCAGAAAATCTAATCTTTAAGACTAATAGACTGTTTAATTTGCAGGCCTCAGGTCCTGTGGTACACGTACAGCCAGTGCAGGTGTGTTAAACTGACCTCTAACCACCAGCGGGTGGTTGCATTGCAAACCTGGATTAAAAATGACTCCTACATATGTTTCAAACAGCTCGTTGGCACTAGTCATGCAAGAATTGTTTTGATCAAGTAAAAGTACTAGATTCAAAATTGCACTTTAATAAAAGTACAAAAGTATTAGTTTTAAGATGTACTGAAGTATTAAAAGAAAATGTATTCACTATGCAGAATGGGTGTTGGATTATTATTACACATAATACTGGTTACATGCTGGTTAGGTGAGGCTCCTGTAAACTCTTTACTGTTGGGTGGTTTAACCTATAATATTCCATCATATTTTACAAGCCTCTCGAATGTGTTAAAGGGGCAATATGGAGTTTTTAGCGGCCACTAGCTGTGTGGTTTTAAGATTGCAACCTGGTGTGTGCTCGTACGCGTGAACTTGTGAGCGAGCATAATCCAAAACACAACCGCTTTCATAAAGAGACCACAATAAACGTGGAATCACCAGCATGCAGGCTGTGGCTTTTCTCCAGATATGTTCAGCTTCTGTTACTGCGACGTTCTCGGCTCAGAGGCAGATCAACACCCGCGCCGTACCTTTCATTCAGTGCAGCGAGCGACACCGGCATTTTGGCACAATACTACCTGAAAAAAGGCAGAGTGACAGCGGCTATAGACAGGCAGGGAGACAGCTTCACACAACATGCTGGAAACTCAGGTCAACTCCCACTGCAACGTTACAGTAATATTTTTATCACCTCGACAATGAACTAATCCATGCTCGTTACATGATATCATTACAGTGACTGCATTTAACCAACATAGTTAGCTCGCCTGCTGCTTTCAGTAACAAACTTCACTATCTGTGAATCTTTCACCGGAGGCGCAGCAATGTCAGCACAGCTACATGTATTTGATGATAACGAAACGCTTAGTGAACTATACTGATTATTATAACAAGATCATGTCCACAGTTAGACCGCAGTAAGTAAATATACTGTAGTGTTAGTGGATGGCTCTTCTTCTGTGTTGTTGTCGCCGTCTTGTTGCAGTATTGTATATTATGTGGGTCACGTTACAGCGACTGAGAGGTGGAGAAGCTGTGTACTTGAGTATCGTAAAATGACCAATGACTATGATAAATCTATATTGAACGTTACGAAGCAAACGGCAGGTCTGAGCTAATTAGTGTTAGTTGGCTGCCCTACCTTGCATCACTATAGGTTAGTAAACTAATCCCTCCACATTAGCTTTGTACAGTTACATCATTTCTTGCAGGCAAAATCAACACTGACATAATACCGGTGGTACACAGTACAGTAACATGGGTCGCGTTAGCGTGTGAAGTAATGTGGAAATAATACAACTTTGTGCTGGATAACGTTAGCAACTGCTCTGCGTTTGCCTAACGTGACTCTGAATTTCTGATGTGATTGTTTTTACCCGACATCTCAATCTCGTTTGGTCTGACAGTCTTCATCGCATTGACCTTTATTATTATTTTTTATTCTTACATGGAGTTTATGTTGGACTCTGTTTTGTGGTGTTAGTGGACTGCATGTCGTTAGCTGCGGTGTTGTCACTGTAGTGGGAGAGAGACTCGGGAGCACGCACAGGGCTGAATCCTGACCTGTTGTCCTCACATTAAAAGCAGAATAGGGGCTGTTCCAAGCAAGAGAAAACAGGCATGTCCTTAATTTCTAAGTGAGGTTAGAGCTCATTGACAGTAAGGCAGTGAAAATTTGATTTATTAATAAGTGCTTTCATTGAAAAACTACATACAGCACCTTTAAATGTAAAATGTGCATCTAAAACGTGAATGCTGAAAGCTGAAATGATTTTAAAAGTATTGCTTAAAATGCAGAAATATTAAATGAATTTGCCTGAAAATGCAGCAGCTGGACTGTTGAAAAAGCTGGAAGCTGAAATGTGAAACTGCTATAATTGGGAGTTGGAAAAATTTAATAGAAACATAAATGTCCTTAAAGAACATAACAATTTTACAAATGAATTGTTTCTCCACCTGAAAGTATGCCGAATTATTAGTTAAAAACATACCGAAGATGAATAAACTGCATAACTAAAACTGCAGAAATGTGATCGAAATGAATTGCCAGAATTGGAAGCATGCATTATATAAAGAACCGCCTGACACTGAGCATGGCGCTGTATTGTCGCGTCTGTGACCCAGTTACATCTGCTCTGTGCAGCTTGTCCCGGCTTCCATCAAAAACTGACTTGCTGCGTTTCATCTGTAGAGCAGAGCAGAGAGACACTTCTGAAAGACGCTGCAGCTTGTCTGGTAGACTCACGAGCATCTTTTGGAATGGCCATGATCAGCTCTGTGTGTTGCAGCCGGAACGTAACACAGCCGTGCCTAGTGGAATCCAGCCCAGTCAAGTGTTTTTTTAGGAAAACATACATTGTGAATATTTCCAGAATTAACACCCAATAAAAATAATACAGATTTGAATAACTATGGTGTGACTAAAAAGTGTAGATGGAGTGGAGTAAATGTACTATTTCCCCCTGAAATGTAGTGTATAGAAAAGTAGCATTAAAAGAAATACTCAATTAAAGTACAAATACCTTGTTTTGAGCTAAACAACCCCATACTCCTCTGTGTAAAACATGAGAAACAGCATGATACTATTTTTCCCAGCTCTACCACTTACATTTGGCTGTAGTGACCTGGAAAGAGAACAATGGGATGAAATGCTTTTGTGCTTGTTTAAACCATCTTCCACACAAAATCCCGCCCGCAGCTGTACTGCAAACAGAAAAAAGAGAGGTGCAGCAGTCATGGACCCGTTAGGAGGATTTTATTTTTCATCAGCTGTACAGTGCCTCATCTGTTTTCTTGGTCTTAAAACAGTAATGTGGTTAAAACCACCTTAAAACTGTTCTCTCAATTCTTCTGCCAAAACAAACAAACAAAGCAAAGCTATGTGCAAACAAAAAAACAATACTGTCGCTACGGGAACAGTCGAACATCCATCTTCCATCCGTCCTCCTGCAGAACAATAACATGATAGATTGATAACAAAACATTTTGCTCATTTGTGTTTTACAGAATGAGACCTCAGACCACAGCAGTGCACTCACAGAAAGGTTTTTGAATGATTCTTGCAAAAGTGTCAATCTGATGTACAAACACTGATTTCCTCACATACCTTCTTTTAGTATCAGTATCTTGGCACTGCTATCTCTGTGTCCATGGTTCCTTACAGCCTGGAAGGAAGGCCACATAACAACCATCATAACCTGTGGTCAAACTGTCACTGCAGAGCTTTTAGCCCTAGTCTAAGGATTCACACCTTCAGAAGACTCAAATCATATGATTTGTTGAGATTCTGACCATGAAGATTCATTTAGTTCTAACCTTGATCCTAATCCTGTGTTTTTGTAAAGAAAACTAGGCTCTGATTTGGAGTGACTGGCGTGGGCCAAGGTAAAGACACACCTTGGTATCAGCTGCAAATGCACACCATCCGACAGCTCAGGGCTACTGGAATTGCAAGACTTGGGCTAAACGGGCCTCAGTTCAGGGCTGATTTGGACTACCCAATTAAGTCACATAGCACAGCAAACAAATACAGAGCTTCTAAAAACTGTCACCAATCAAAAACATTATTAAAGCTTTTAGATGGTTGCCAAACTGTTTTTTCTTTCAGCAAATTCTCCAAAAGCTCTTGTTCCTTATACGTCAAACTAATCTCACACCTTTGGGCCAAAAGGTTAAACTGAATAAGACTACGCTTCTGTCACACTACTGAACCGAACCAACTGCACAGAAACTGCAAAATGGCCAAACATGAAAACCGTAGAACAGTATCAGAGCAGATCCAAAATGGTCATGAGCAACAGAATACAGACAGAAACATGAGTGGTTCAGATAGTTCAGTTTGGTTAAGAAGAGCTTATCTGTGGAAGGAAAGCACAATGGAAAGGTCATTCTGCAAATCACCTTTACAGGCTAAGGGCGTGGAGGACAAGGTATGACACTGAAAAAAACTTTTAACCAACACATGTCAAAGTCAGCCATTTAAATACATTAAAAATGGTTCACAAGAAATCAAAAAGCAAAGGGTTTAAAATGTTGTTACATGCAAACCATGTTTGGTGATCATGGATTGCTGTGGGGGGTGGCTGGTATTAGCTTGCAAAACATGTTGGAGTTTATTACTGCTGATTACTTCAAGTGAACTGATTCAGATGCATAGACATAATTCCATGTTAATTAAAGTAGTTGGAATGTTCAAAATCACAACTATATTACAATATTCTACCACCTAAATCAAGATTATCTGTACCCATCTGTACCCACCAGCAGGGATCAGTGATAGGTAGGGGGGGAAACGGCTGATAATGAACTTCATCTCAAACTATGTTAGTGCTGGGAAACTAAATTAGCAGCAACCTCAAGTATTTAATTTGCCTGAGTTGACTGAGGGCGGATTTCCATTAAAACAAGGTTGAGTGCTGGTGAACTGGGCAGCTGACTCACTGACTTCATTCATTTGACGGTATCTGCCTGTGCCCATTTGCTCATGTATAAAGAAGAATCCTTCTGATCCTACGATAAAAGCCTCCATATACAAACAGCCAAATACTAACACCACAACACTGACCCTGTGTTTACACAGGCCAAGGCGGAAATCATACTATGGGGGAAAAATATACACATCATATGACTGAGAGCAAGTGGTATCTCAGAGGCAAACTTGAGTACCGTGTACTACATTTCATTAGGAAATACTACATTTATATCTATATATACACATAGAAAGGCTTGGAATTTGCTAAATTAGCATGGTTGCAAGAGAACAGCAAGCAGGCCAGAAGAAAAACAAAGTGAAAAGTGAAGGTCGACCAAATAATGTCTCCTTTGGCAGAGCAACATGAAGAGGAGCTGAACATGAACGGCATAGACTGACACAGGATGTGGCTTTGGGTAGAAAAAAAAGTAACAAAATCCACAATGATTCATTCAGAAGACATTCAAACTGAAAAAAGCATTTAAGAGCAGGGAGTAGTCTGTAATTAGCTTGATAATATTTGTATATGATGTGGAGATGACACAAGTATGTGCAGTGGGATTGCGTATTTTGTGTGTGTGTGTGTGTGTGTGTGTGTGTGTGTGTGTGTGTGTGTGTGTGTGTGTGTGTGTGTGTGTGACCCACAAACATCAGTATGCAGGTCGATGTACATGGATTTGAAGTTACTTTCTAAGTATTTACATGCAGCTTCCCTTCTTTGTACATGGTTGTTTTTGCTGCCACCATTTTTGCAGCCACTTCAATGGAGGCAAAATGGCTGCCTTTAAAAGCTCACACAGATGGAACATCAGGTGAAGGCCAAGGATGTGGAAATGTTAATGTGTATTTGCCAATCTGACTCATAGTCCGGCTACATGCATGTGGCTGTTCTGTTCACCGGTCCATCATGCTGAGGATCATCTCTGGTGTCAGATCTCCGTTGGCAGCAGCGGCCGCTGTTTCCTCATTCACAGCCAGCTCAACAGTCTCCACCCCTTCCCCGTCTAGCCCCACCCCCTCCACAGTCAGGGCCACTCCCTGCTCCAGCGGTGTCGCTACAGAGGCATCGCCATCCTCCTTCTTCACTATGATGTTCTCTACTGCTCCAGTGCTCTCATCTTCCACCTGAATGATTGCAGCAGCTACAAAACACAACAAAGATATACTTCAGTACTTCATTCAGGAGTTATGAATATTATAACTGAACACCTGGCATAGGAAAGAAAGGAATTTATCTGAAGGTGCCAAGACAATGACTGAAATGACCTCTGGACTTAACTGTAGACTGATTATATGCACATATATAATTCTATATTTTTGCAAAGTCAGAACACATGCTCTTGGTAACTCAAACCCTCCCAGTCATGTTTTGCAGAACATTTCTCAGATAAGTTTTGCACAATTCAGTTATTTTTGGTTCTTTGTCCTCAAGTGTGTTCTATAAAGAAGGCACTTGAGCTTGAGACACCTTCCTTCACAACCTAAAACATCTAGAGTGTGGTAGCATTTCACTCTTCACTCAGCCAAAAAGGTTGTGAACTGCAGCATCTCAACACCGGAGCATGTAGAAGAGGAGGCACGTAACCATGTGGCTCTGTGGATGATGAAGACTCGTCTTGGTAAGCTAGCTTCACGTTATGCGTTATGAGCTGTGCCATTTTCTATAATTTCCCTTGATCTATTAATTGTTCATGGCGTTGAGAGTGGCAAATACTTATGATACACAACGTCCTGTTTAACGTTGCAGATGTGCTCTAACTTCAACTCCAATCATAAACAATGCATTGCTAATGGTGACATTTACAGCTTTTCAGTTACCATTTTGGTGTTTTAAGTTAGGAGACATCTTTACTTATCATTAAATTCAAACACCATACAGGTGTTTAAAGTTGAAACCAATTATCGCTGCTGCCGGCTGCGGGAGTTCAATTCAATTTTATTTATATAGCGCCAAATCACAACAACAGTTATCTCACAGCGCTTTTCATAAAAGAGCAGGTCTAGACCGTACTCTGTGATGATATTTACAGAAGCCCAACAGTTCCCACCAAGAGCAGCACTAGGCGACAGAGGCAAGGAAAAACTTCCTTTTAAGAGGCAGAAACCTCGAGCAGAACCATGGCTCAGGGTGGGCGGCCATCTGCCTCAACCGGTTGGGTGGGTGGAGAGAGGAGGGGAGAGGGAGAGAGAGAGAGAGAGAGAGAGAGAGAGAGAGAGAGAGAGAGAGAGAGAGAGAGATTTTAAGCCTGAGAAAATTATTTACAAAGTTACGTGAATTTAATAAAACATTTTATTATAATACATTTAAATATAACACACTATAGCTTTTTTGGGTGTGTTTGTACTTTGATAAAATAAGATAAAATTAATCAAGGACGTCACTTTGTGTTGAGAAGTGGTGGGACATAAGGGTTCAGATTAGGGGTGTGACGATACACTTAGCTCACATGCACGATTCACAATATTGGGTTCACGAGAACAAGACAAGACGACATTTTAACACTATTTCATGAAATATTCAATGCTGAAATATACAAACGGTGGTCTGGGGGTCCTTCTCTATCTCCTGCATTCTGGAGACATTTCCTGCACCAATTTATAGTAGAATTGTCTTTATTTATATAAGTGATTCATGTGACAATTCAAACTGAATATAATGCAGCACTCAGCAGCTTGTCTTTTTAGTTTAAACCTTTTAGAAAAATGCACGTTTCTTTTATCTTTAAATTGTATTACACGTTTTCTTATTGTGCAAATAAACCTTTCTCAAAGTATTTTCATTTGTTTTTTACATTTCTTGTTGCAGAACATAACAAATGCTTTAAAAAACATGGTGGAGACATGTCCCCAGTATCCCCAGCGTAAATTACACCTATGAAATTAATATATTATTTGTGCTCTAAGAACTCTTAAGGGGTGAAATCAAAAATACAAACAAATTGTTTGGTATGAGTTGTTGCAATTAGTTACACCTTGGCTAGAAAAGTAAATGTAATGTAATATAATATGCCAATTGCTTCAGTGATTATTCATCTTGTTCTGTTTTTCTAAAGCATCTAAAGGCTGCTTGAAATATACACTGCTCAAAAAAATAAAGGGAACACTTAAACAACACAATGTAACTCCAAGTCAATCACACTCCTGTGAAATCAAACTGTCCGCTTAGGAAGCAACTCTGATTGTCAATCAATTCCACATGCTGTTGTGCAAATGGAATAGACAACAGGTGGAAATTATAGGCAATTAGCAAGACACCCCCAATAAAGGAGTGGTTCTGCAGGTGGTGACCACAGACCACTTCTCAGTTCCTATGCTTCCTGGCAGATGTTTTGGTCACTTTTGAATGCTGGAGGTGCTTTCACTCTAGTGGTAGCATGAGACGGAGTCTACAACCCACACAAGTGGCTCAGGTAGTGCAGCTCATCCAGGATGGCACATCAATGCGAGCTGTGGCAAGAAGGTTTGCTGTGTCTGTCAGCGTAGTGTCCAGAGCACGGAGGCGCTACCAGGAGACAGGCCAGTACATCAGGAGACGTGGAGGAGGCCGTAGGAGGGCAACACCGTGCAGGACGTTTGGCATTTGCCAGAGAACACCAAGATTGGCAAATTCGCCACTGGCGCCCTGTGCTCTTCACAGATGAAAGCAGGTTCACACTGAGCCGGGAGTTGGATGCTTTAGTCCAGGTCTGGGAGGAGATCCCTCAGGAAACCATCCGCCACCTCATCAGGAGCATGCCCAGGCGTTGTAGGGAGGTCATACAGGCACGTGGGGGCCACACACACTACTGAGCCTCATTTTGACTTGTTTTAAGGACATTACATCAAAGTTGGATCGGCCTGTAGTGTGATTTTCCACTTTGATTTTGAGTGCGACTCCAAATCCAGACCTCCATGGGTTGATAAATTTGATTTCCATTGATAATTTTTGTGTGATTTTGTTGTCAGTGCATTCAACTATGTAAAGAAAGGAGTATTTAAGATTATTTCATTCATTCAGATCTAGGATGTGTTAGTGTTGCCTTTATTTTTTTGAGCAGTGTAGATTTATATACTGTAGTATTGGCTTGAAAGCAACAGGGATAAGGAGTTGGGCTCCAGTTTGTTTTTTTCCTCGTCCCGGTGATTGGCGCATCTCAGTGATGTAAGTTTAATGTGCGTTAGCATGTTGGATGTTTCCAATCACATAACGTTACCCTACAACAGCGGCACAACGCCGACACACAGACACGGTCCTCATCTCATACACAACTGTCTCTCCGTTGCTGTTGTAACATTCACTGACCAGGAACCTGCAGGTGGGTCTTCCAGCTCCGCTGTTTCATTAGTGCTCGCCATAGTGTGACTGACTCGCACTTCGATCCGCTTGTTGTGCTAACTTCAGCGTCACTGTCCTCAGCCTCGTCCGCCAACTTGTCCGTATCGTTGGCCTTCTGAACTTCACACACTTGCCCATTCTGAGTCGACGATCTAGCACGTCAGATACGTTTTCTGACTGACTCGCGCAAGAGCTGGATGCCAGAGCTGGATGCCAGAGCTCATGCACTGCAAACACTCCACAGTCCAGAGCGTAAAGCTAAACACTGACGTGAACAGTAATGTTACCTGTACTGCCGTATAACATCCAAGTCACACCAAATGGAGTAAATTGTAAAGTCACACACACAAAAATGATTTATGACGTTACGGCACTAATTAAATCTTATGAAAGGACAAGAAAAAATTTAAGACATTGGAAAACAAAATTTAATACTTTGTAAATGAAATTTAAGGCCTTTTGTTTGGATTGACTTGAAATTTCTCACACAGGTGCAGCTCAATGTGCTCTACAGAAAAGCCTCAAGGACTATTAAGGTCCGCCTGGAGTTTTTTCCCGCCATTTTAAATTTTTTGAAAAAACACATTTTTGACATCTCCTCCTTGACCACCAAATTTTCAGTGAATCATCATTGGATCAAGCCTATATTAAAAGTTGTATAAAGCATGTCGATATCTCAATTACTTTTCAAGATATGGACCAATGAACTTTGAAAGGGGCGTGGCTCTGGACATGACCACAAATCAGCAACCGTAGGGCTGATCATCACAAAACTCACAGGATATGTTCAGATAGGTGCCCCAGATATACAGTTTGATGTACATACGTCATTAGGGGGCGCAACAAGCGCAAGAAAGATGCTTAGCATTACACAAATTACACTATAAATCCCATATTCATTCTCCAATCAGCACAAATCTCTCAGGATGTGTCCTCATAAGTAAATGAAACATGCCCTGAAAGTTTCATTGAAATTGAACACCCAGGGGCGCTATAAATGCAAACAAACTGCAGGGGATAAAACGCAAATCATGCTACAAAATACAAATTGTTTGTCCAGTCAACACAAAACTTGCAGGATATGTCTAGATAAGCACCTCACACATACACTTCAAATCTCATTTCAATCGACCACTATGGGGCGCTTTAAATGCACAGTAACTGGACATTGATTTATACAAATTAAGCTACAGATCAGAAAATTATTGTCCAATTGTTATAAAACGTGCAGGATATGTTTCATAATATCTAACCACATGAGTGAAGTTATTTAAAGATGTTATTTCGCTAATGCGAAAAAAGGTTTCAACCCGCAAATCCCTGCTTATTTTTAGGGCCCCGAGCACGAAACGTTGAAACTGAAAGGATTTTTTCTCCCCTGCAAAGTAACTTCAATTTTGGGGGCCTAAAAATGCTTGAAAACTCACCAAACATTGCACATAATTCAGACGGGGTGAAAATTTTCAGATTTTATGAGTGTGGCAAAATGGCTCACTAGCACCCCCTAAAGATCAGCCCTGGACAAAGTTTCACCTGCGTGTACGAAATTTCTGTGGTATGTGTATTATATCCAGACATACAAAAAAGCGTCATGGAGCCATTGCCTAAACCCAACAGGACGTCGGCCATTTTGGATTTATTGGTCATTTTTGGCGATTTACACAAACTCCTTCTAGGGAATTAATCCGATCGACTGCAAATTTTTGATGTGCACTTTAAACCCATTGACAATTAAAAGTTGTACAATCGGTTATTACCAGTCAACCAGTTTGGCGTGCTGTCAAAAATCGCTGATTCGCCATGAAACAGGAAGTTGTTATAACTTCAGTATACATGCTCACATCTGCACCAAATTTTATGTATAATAAAAGCCCCGCCCTGAACACATCCTTATGCCAATTTTCACTCAAAGTCATAGCGCCACCTGCTGGGAACAGGAAATGACACAATTTACGCTGTAATGTACTACTCCTAGCAGGTTGGACATATCAACTTAAAAACTGTCCCAGAAAACCCTTAACACACTGATGAAGCCACATTATTTAACTTGTGAGTATTACCAAATTTGACATGGATAATAACAGTCCTGCCCTGAACACATCCATATGCCAACATTCACTCAGAAGCATAGCGCCACCTGCTGGCAACAGCAAATAACACGGTTTACGCGATGATGGACTACTCCTAGCAGGTTGGCCATGTCAACTTCAGGTGGCGTGGCGGCAAAGTTACATGCTTCGCCATGACACAGAAAGTTGCTGTAACTTCACTGTACATGCTCAGATCTGTACTAAATTTTACATGTTTAATAAGAGTTGCACCCTGAACACATCTACATGCCAACATTCATCCATAGTCATAGCGCCACCTGCTGGCAGCAGGAAATGACCTCTAACGAAGCATGTATAAAATTTCTGTGGCACATGTATCATGTCCAGACGTACCAAAAAGCCTCATTTTGAATTTTATGTTCATTTTCGGATGATTTACACACTCCGTACTTTAACGAACTCCTCCTAGGGATTTAGTCCGACTGACTTCAGATTTTTGCTGTGCAGTCTAAACCCACTGACAATTACAAGTTGTACAAACAGTGAGTTTTTGTGGAACGGCGTGGCGGCATGCAAAATTGATGATTCGCCATAAAACAGGAAGTTGTTGTAACTTCAGTGTACATGCTCACATCTGAACCAAACTTTACACGCTTGATAACCTTTCACGCCCCCAATAAATCTACATGCCAATATTCAGTTATAGTCGTAGAGCCAAGTGCTATGTAGTGCCACAAAGGGGACACAGGAAGTGATGATTAACACGTTTGTGCAGTGTCCAAAACTGCCACACCGGCAGAGCTCCAGAATCTGCAATGAAGCCATCTCACACTTTGACGCACTACATATGCGAGGGCCCGCCCAATGCTGCTTGCAGCTTTAATTGTAAATGTAATTGCAGGATGCAGTTCTGATTGGCAGGAAATATTAATCCATCTTTTTTTACAGCTAAAGAACTATTCGCAGGCAGTCATTGGTCTTTTTTTTACAATTATGTGCAGTCGTAATCTGACTTTATGCTGCACAAGACATGGCTCCTTCCTTCTCTGCAAAGATTTGACTGTGAGATTGAATCAGGCTCCTTCTATGGAAGCACCGAATCTTCGACTTTTCGTCGTCACCCCTGCTGCAAATATATTATTGCGCTACTTTCATCAGTGGCCATTCTGTGGGCCAGATGGTAAGATTTGGCGGGCCGGATGTGGCCCGTCAGTTGATGATCACTGGCATAGAGTTTATAGAGTCCATAGAGTTTGCTCGTGTATGTTCAGTTAATCATAACATCCAGTCTTTTTCATTGGTTTGCTATACTATTTTTGTATATGTGATTTTACCCCCAAGACTAAATAAATCCTGTGGTCCATGAAAGTGCTCTCACCAGAAGCAGTCATCTTGGCAGCCACCCTAACTGACTTGCAGGGTGTTGGAGGCTTGGGGGCATTTTTTGGGGGTCGGCCTCGTTTCCTCTTGACCGGTGGCTCATCAGGAGCCGGTACTGGGATGGCGGCAGGGGCCTGATCCAATTCCATGCTTTCTGCCTCCTCCTCTTCCTGTAGCAGTGATGCTTCTTCCTCCCCCTCCCCCTCAGCCTCCTCGTCTTCGTCAGGTTCAGCGTGATCATCCTCTGAATAATCAAACAAAGACGGATGCCAGATGAACTAATCCCAACTGAGCAAAGCATCATGCCAACACTTAAATATGTCAAAGTCTCACCACTGTCATCCTCATCTCTCCTGCTCCTCATCTTCCTCTTTCTTCCTCTCCTCCCTTTCTTTGGGGTTGGAGCTCCATTCTCAGCATCCTCCACCTCACCGCTGCAGTTCTCAGCATGGCGAGCCATGGTGTTCTACAAAATCACACTGTTAGTCTGTTGACTTTTATAAGTTATTAGTGACTAGCCCATGTAGAACCAACCAAAGTTCACTTCACGTGCGTGACAGCAAGAAAGAGCGTCCCTTACCCTGCGAGTGAATGTCTTACTACACTTGGGACAGACGAAGGCGGTGGGAACAAAGTTGGGGTCGTGGTAGCGTTTGAAGTGCATGTCCAGCAGCTGCTTCTGTCTGAAGGTCTTTTCACACTGGCTGCAGGCGTATGGTTTCTCTCCGGTGTGGGTTCGACGATGCATCACCATGTGGCGTTCCTGGACACAGCAACATGGGACCCACAGTGAAAAATCACAGATAGTACTATAAATCTATTCTAATAATACTCTGTCTACTACTGGCCAATACTGAAATATCGCAACAACTACTGGATGGATTGCCATGTTATTTTGTACAGACAGTTATGGTCCCCAGAGGATGAATCATAATAATTTTGATGATTCGCTGACTTCCCCTCTACATGGTTCATACACATTTTGACCGATGAATTTCCATGACTTTTCAATGACTTTAAGCCAAATGTTAAGCCCATGTCTGCACATGATTTGTAAAAATAATGCAAATTAACCACCTTTAGCGCTCATAGTTCCTCCGCAGTAAGTAGGCTACTTCATTCTTGGATAAAGCAGCTATCATCGACATTTGCTTGGCAATAGTGAGATGCATGTTTGTAGCTTTTATCCTCGCCAGCATTATATAATGTACATAACAAAAAAAACTGCTTTAACGGTTAGCTCAACGCTAACATATAAAGGGAATCTCGATTATCATGCTAACAGACATTAGCATGAAAAGCAACATACTGTGCAAATACTTAAAGTACATATGTTTCCTGAGCTCTGTGTGAAATAAGAAAGAGCTGCTAACTTAACTGGCTTGATCTACTACTCTGCTGCTTCAGCACTTCACACTGACTAACTACAGAAACCCCAGAATGTGTGCAATTCAACAATGCTGTGCCACTGAATAGTTATCAATAAAATGTTCAGTACATTCCGTGAATTTGCATTTTTATGTGCCTTTTATAAGCATTATATAATGTACATTTTCCTAGCAGTGTGTATTTTCTAGCTAGCTAATGATGCAAGCCGGTTGCGAGCCAAACCATCTACCAGAGGCAACTGACGTAGACTCAATGCACGCTAGAGGGTAGTGTATGTGTCCAAGTCTCACTGGAGCATTCTACATTTACAGAATTATTTTGTATAGGCTAATGACTAATCGAGAATAAACAGAACACATGGTATTTGACTAAAAACTCCATAATCACATGAGCCCCTTTTCCACTGCACGGTACCAGCTGGACTCACCTAGACTCTACTCGCCTTTTTTTGGTTTTCTATTGCGGAAAAGTTGTACCAATACCTGCTTCCAGGTACTTTTTTTCGTATCACCTCTGTTGAATTGTTGGTACCCTTCCGTTAAAGGAAGAAAAACCCACAATGGTCCCTGAAATAACTTGAAACTGACAAAAGTATAAATTTACTGAAAATAAACTGATGAAAATCAGACAGTGCTTTTGAATTGCGGTTCAACAGAATCATTTAAAAAAAAAAAAAACTAATGAAACTGGCCTCGACAAAATTATGGTACCCCTAGAAAAGATTATTTATTAATTTATTTATAAATTAATAAATAATACATACAGACGGCTTTGTTTTAGTTTGTTCATAACAATTCACTATTAGCTTAACAAGTTGTAACAACAACTACGAACACAGCAAGTGGAAATATCGCTTTACTACTTTTACCTTTTTTTTTTTTTTACGGATCTGCATGATTAACGTGGTTCATTTCAGGTCGGAAAAATCACATCCCTGATTAGCGCTACTGAAACTAGTTTCCATGACTTTTCCAAAACTTCTGGGATTTTATTTTTAGGTTTTATTTATGTTTTTCCATGACCGTACGAACCCTGCCTCTAGTGCCAAGAGCAGGTCAAACGTTTTACTCAGTGTTTCCCCTAGGATTTCTATGCCGCTAGTAAAAGTATTACAAAAATTATTGCCTCCCAAAGGAGCTTGCTACAGTTATGCTACATTTACATATTGGGTGACCATGGATAGGGCCCTATAATTTGTTTTAATTTGTTGCCAGATTCGGTTAAATTTTTTCCCAAATTCCATGTTTTCTGTTTCTGTGTTTTCCAATTTAAAACACATTTAGTCATCAGAAAGAGTGTGTAATCATGTGGTGGATGAATACAATTTCAAAAATTCAATAAGAAATGAATGAAATGAATATCAATGAATTTGATGCATCATGCAACATGGAAATACTCAAAATAAAATAGTCAATGTACATGTATTGTGATTTGGGGGAGGGTTAATATAGCTATTCGTATTAGTAATGCTCCTTACATGCTTGCTTATAACTTATCTGAAGGTGTTTCTCCGACATTAACAGCATTGTGTTAAGAAAATAGATAGACTAACTTCTCAGAGTTAACTTGAGTGCATTCGTTTTTCTGTACACACAGCTCCGTAACCCTACATATCACTACAAAAAGATATTTGCGTAAACACACCTGGCGGCAGCAGTAGTCACACATGTCGCATTTGAACCTCTTCTCATTCTTGTGGGACTTCTGATGCTGAATCAGAGCGTAGCGCTCATGGAAAACGGCGTCACAGTAACGACACTTTTTTCCAGTCTCAATAAATGAGTGCTGCTTACGAAGGTGCACACCTGTAGATGGATGTGGATGCCAAGAGAAAACACATTAGGGGAATGAAACAACATGGCAAAATAAACCAGCTTGCCAGTCTGGCAAGTTTATGTGTGCGTACGTGTTACCTAAGTCACTCTTGCGTGCGATGACAGTGTCACAGTGTGGACAGTGGAATTTGGCCACATTCTCTGTATGCTTCTGCAGAATGTGCATCTTCATGGTTCCACTCTGGGTGAATCGGGCATGGCAGATGTAACACTCATAAGGTTTTTCTCCTGAGAAGATTAAGCATGTACACCTTATGGTTGTTCAATGTTCTCATTAATGTTGCGAATCTTAGTTAGTAAGTAAACTTTATTTATATAGCACCTTTCACAGACAAGAGGGGTCACAAAGTGCTTTACAGTAAAAAATAAAACAAAGCCCATAACAAAAAAAACATTTTTTAAAGTGCTTTAACGGTTAGCTCAACGCTAACATATAAAGGGAATCTCGATTATCATGCTAACAGACATTAGCATGAAAAGCAACATACTGTGCAAATACTTAAAGTACATATGTTTCCTGAGCTCTGTGTGAAATAAGAAAGAGCTGCTAACTTAACTGGCGTGATCTACTACTCTGCTGCTTCAGCACTTCACACTGACTAACTACAGAAACCCCAGAATGCGTGCAATTCAACAATGCTGTGCCACTGAATAGTTATCAATAAAATGTTCAGTACATTCAGTGAATTTGCATTTTTATGTGCCTTTTATAAAGAAATGTTTATAATATAATATTGTTTATAGTTGCAGTAAGTTCTGTAATTTTAATTTACAGACAGAAAAATCACCCGTCGGTCACCCGTCACGGCCGATTAAGCTGAAAACCAGCTGATTCCAGTAACCGGCCAATTGATCGGTGCATGTCTACTATAGATGTGAACAACATTGCATCCATCAGTACTGCCCAATTTCACTTATTACAAGTAAAAATTATAATTTTGTAGTTGATAGTAATGACCTTAATTTGAATATATTATTTTGTAAGGGATCCAGAAAATCTGGACAATTGATAGCTTTTCCACAAAATAAGAACGAAAAAAACAATACGGTTCCTATCTCTCTAAAAACTGATATGCCACTGTGTCCTCCTTTACTGTTTCATAATTACAGAAAAGCAGATATGGTGTCAGTTTTACCTGAGTGTGTCCTCATGTGTCTCTTCAGCTTGTATGTGTCTCTACTCGCGTAGCTGCAAAGACTGCACTGGAATGGGCGCTCGCCAGTGTGGGACCGAATGTGGCGTTTTAGTTTGCTCACCTACACAAACACATATCAACATATCAAAACACTACAGCAAAATATATATTCCATTAAATAGGTCTCTATCACTAAGTGATTTTAGACTGTTGGAGCAGTGCAGTTGCATATCCACTGTTAGAGACACACATTTCAAGTCCTTAAGTGCTGCTGGCTACAGAACTGTTAAATTATCCTTTACTCTTCACTTAGTAGATGTGGATGGAGATTAGTTTAGAAAGTGTAAAATATTACACTGAACTTTAAACTTCCAAAACATTAAGTAGACATGAGCTCTTCTTACCTCAACACTGGCATAGTCACACATTGAGCATTTGAAGGGTTTCTCATGTGTGTGTTTGTAGCGACGATGACGAACCAGCTCCCCACTAGTCACAAAAGCCATATCACAGTCTGTGCACTTGTGTGGACGAGTTCCTGCATAAATAAAAACGAGACACGTGTAAGCTATCTTGAATGGTGTGAAAAACTCAACCACTCTTCTTCTTCCTCTTAAACTACTAATATTTTGGTCTCATTGGAGTCTAATGTGTGTTAATGAATACCCGTATGTGTATTGAGATGGTTTCTCAGCAGGGTGACCGTCCTGAAGGCTCTTCCACACAAGTGACATTTGTGAGGTCTTTCGTCTGTGTGGCTCTTCATGTGTCTGTCCAGGTTGGAGCGTCGAGGGCAGGTATAGCTACACAGCTCACACTGAAACGTCTTCTTCACTCCTAACACAAATCGATGACATGCACAGATTCAACACCAGTGTTCGTATCACAATCCCACAGCCATCATATAGACAGAATAAAAAAATGTTGCATAAAGTGTTAGATATTTAATAAGCATTTCCAGAAAAGAGACTTCAGATTAAACAAATATTTGCAGAATAGTCTTCGTTATTATAACAGCTCTCATTACAGTAACAGTAAAGTCATGATAATATTGCAGAGGTGATGATGATACCTGTTTTTTTGTTATTAGGGATCCAAGCAGCGAAGCTGCTGGAGCCCTATTGTTTTTATTCTCATTATTCTCTTTCTTTCTTCTTTTTCTCAGCTAAAAGTGTTTGGGCAGCAAAAACTGCTGGACGAAAACTCACCAAAATTGGCAGGTGGGTTGCAAATTCCACCACTACTCAGGCAAAAAAAAAAAAAGGCCCTCATAGACCTCATGTTGGCGCTATAACAATAAACTTTACATTTTTGCAATTATCTCGAAAACGGATTTGTTTAGTCAAACTTCTTTCATCATTTTAATCTCTTGATTAATCTGCATCTTCTGCTCTAAAAATGTCAAATTATAAGACTTTTTATCACTTTTCTCTAAAACCTATTTTTACAAACTCGTCCCAGACAGTTTCGGCAATCGACCTGAAACTTTGGCAGGAACCCTATGGATGTTGCTGACCAAAAGCTATCAAAAAAATTTGATACGTCAATCTGTTTTTCCCCCCCACAAATTTTTACTTTTGTGTATTTACATAAATGCCCATAAATCAAAATTGGCTTAAACTATTTTAACCAAACCGAGCTTAGCTGAGCAGTCCTGGGATATTCTTCCACTAGGGGGCGTTACACCTGCAAAAAGTTTATACCTCGTAATTCACTGTGTGGATTCGTACAAAATTTGCTTTGTACGATCTAGGGTCACTACTCAGTTGATGCATAAAATTTAGTTATGACTGCTCAAAGTGGGGGTGGCTTTTTTACAAGAAATGTAAATTTCTAGACATTTCTCATTACAAAAATCTACGAAAATCACCCGTACGTCCTTGAGAGCTGAATTTTTTTCAGCACATCCATTGATGTGACGTTTGCCTCACTGCAACCTATGGTCAATTCAGAAGTCAGTCACTCTATATTTTTCAGAATATGCCAATTCAATTAACATCTTTGTCTCCACAAGTCTTACATCAAAAGCTACCAAAATCAGCACAGACATTCTCTACATGGGCGTCACTTCTTTGTCAAACTTTGTGACACTCTACAAGTGTCACAAAGTTTTTTAGATCAGTCAAACGGTGAATTTGCAGTGATATTCGGTATCTTGCTATAACTTGTACAGTCATCTGTGATGTCACTACCTCAACTTGTGAGAAGGTGTGTGGAAACAGCCTCTCACCAGTAGTTCAGTCAGTAAGTGACCTCTGGAGATCTGAAGTAGATAGCTGCATTGGAATTGGGATCCCGCGGGACCCATCACAAATCGGGAGCGGGCGGTTTTAACTCTGCTGCAGGCGACAGAGCGTGCGGTTAAAAAAAAAAAAAAATCACCAATGATCAATCACAGTGCTTACGGTCCGCGTCGACACCCGACGTGTAGTTACATTTTTGAGGAGGTGCACATCAGGCGACGGCATAGCCTCTGCATAGCCCTGTAGTCTTCTGTGTCGAAGTATAAATTACACTTAACAGTGTTTGCGCAGCTTAAACTTTAAACATTTGAAAAACAAAATGTCACAGGTGGGTTGAACATTTCACCCAGTAGTCAGGTACATATAATGACACTCTCTGATCTCAAGGTGATGCTGTAAAAATCCAGTTTGAGTTTCCCCAATTATCTCAAAGTCCAAATTTAATCTCTCAACTCATCTGCATCTTTTCTTCTCCACTGAAAAAGTCTAAATGTTTTTCACGACTTGCTTGGATCCTGGTCATTGCCACTCGCGGCTATATTGTTTTAATATTGTTGATGTTAACATACATTGCAGCCAGAAAGTTTTCACAGCGCTTCACTTTTTCCACATTGTTGTTACAGCCTTATTCCAAAATGAATGAAATTCACTATTTTCCTCTAATTTCTACAAAAACTACCCCCAAATGACAATTTGAAAGAAGTCTGTTTGATATCTTTGCAAATTCATTAAAAATAAAATATGAAAAACGCACATGTACATTTGGCATCAAATACAGCCTCAAGTCTTCTTGAGTATGATGCTACAAGCTTGGCACACCTATTTTTAGGCAGTTTCTCCCATTCTTCTTTGCAGGTCCTCTTGAGCTCCATCAGTTTGGATGGGGAGCGTTGGTACACAGCCATTTTGAGATCTCTTCAGAGATGTTCAATCGGGTTCAAGTCTGGGCTCTGGCTGGGTCACTCAAGGACATTCACAGAGTTGTCCCGTAATTGTCCTGTAGTCTCCTTTGTTATCTTGGCTGTGTGCTTAGGGACACTGTCCTGCCAGTCTGACGTCCAGACTACTACATCCATCAAGGATGTCTCTGTACATTGCAGCATTCATCTTTCCCTCAATCCTGTCTAGTCTCCCAGTTCCTGCTGCCGAAAAACATCCCCACAGCATGATGCTGCCACCACTTGAGGCCTGTGTATCACTTATGGACCTTTTTGACACAATGCAACAATGGCACCGCTGCGTATAAAAGCAATTAATTTAAATGACTTGCACCGCGGCCTTTTGTGCACGGCACTGTTACCGGCACCAGGTTAGTAGTGCCTGACTCCTTTAACTCCTGGGTAATCAAAAAATGGGCAAAGAGGTGGAGCTATGGCAGGCCAAAGGAAGCCTAGTTGCTGATGGCACCTACCTGTCACTCAAAGCAGCCATGCCCCTCCCAGTTGTCATGAACAGGAAAATCAGCTATAGTCCAAAACAGTGTTCTTTCCAGGCTGTTAACATATTTATTTCTACTGTCAAATTAGGCATTTTAACATGAGGGTGTATTGAGTTTGGGAAAGAAAACAAAATCTGAATATGGCTTTCATTCATATTAGAGCTGCATATTTACATATTAAAATTAAGGGTCGACCAATAATCGGCCTGGCCGATATTCAGCATTCTTCCAATAATCTGCATCGGTCATTTTAAAAACAGATAGCTGATATAATTACTTAATAAAAAAATGCGCTCGTTTGGCATTGAACAGCCATTGTTTACCTACAGTTAGAGTGATGAGTAGAATCTAGTAGTGGGTAGCCAATGTGGCTCATACTGCAGTTTTGAATTCTTAAAACTTTGAAAAGGCAAGCCAAGTCAAACTTCACAAACACTGACTAGTAGTGTCACTCCCATCATGTGCTCAGTCCAGCAGGCAGAACTGTCTCACCTTTCTTCTTGATCTTGGTGGGTTTGGGTGGTTTCATGTTGCCCACTACTTTCTCAGCGTTGACCTCAGACAGAAGGCCCTCCTGCTGTTCCTCTTCAAAGTCATACACACTGACATCCATGTCCTTATCTCCTTCAGCATAGCGCAGACGACTCTTCTTACCCTGGACAGACAGCAAGTCATTAGACCTCATCATCAGCTGATGACAACTTGAAGGTTCAGTGCGTAAGTTTTAGTGCCATCTAGTGGTGAGGCCTACTGTGCATTCACTTGCTCCTTGAATGAAATAAGTACTTTATAATATATGTATTAATTCTAATGGAAAAATTCTGCAGTAAAAAACCTAACTTTGTGCCTCCATGAGGTTGAACTTTATATCAATTTCAAACAAAAAAGCTGTGAAAACTGTCAAGATATGGTTTTAATATCTGTGTATAATATAGACTACCCCTGGAAACTTTTTATTATTTGAGTCTTCTTATATATTTGTATACTGTTCTGTATACTTCTTTATTCCCATGTAAACTTTATTTCTCTTTTTGCAATTAAGATTTAAGGAGGGAAAAAGACCACATGAATGCACCGCTCCCCCTCCCTTTCAAAGCTAGCAAGATAAGCTACGGTGGCCGAAACGCTCATGCTAAATAATATATGTGGGCCTCCATTTGTTCAGATTTTACTTCTCTTCTTACTTCTAATAAACAAGACTACTACTACTACTAGTTTTTCGTGCGTACGAAACATAGTGACGAAACATGCTCTGAATTGTGGTTTGTCCACTTCAGCTATTATAGAAACATGGCAGCGCAACATCTTCATGTAAGGGGACCCTCAGTGTATTTAGAGAGAAATGGCTAATTTTAAGATAATAAAAACATAACGCTTTATTACTTTATACAGCACTGAAAACATATTTATGGATATTATATTGCATTTCTGTCAATAGATCCTCCTAAATATTACACACTGAACCTTCTACTGTTTGGTAAGCACTTTATCAATGTGTAGTCTTAATGATTCTGTGTCGATTTAATTATTGTGTCTTTAGGCGTGTAGCCTATCTATTGTATTGCTATGTACTTTATGACTTGTTTGAAATTTAATTAAGATCTTTAAAAAATAAAAAAATAAAAAATAAAGGAACAGAGACCGATACCACACAACTATCTTGCCTTTTTGGTCTTCTTGACAACTCCAGATGGTGGCTGATAGTCCGGGTCTTTAGCCCAGTTTGGGTCATCAGTTGGAGGCTGAATGGGCTCATCCTCCCCTTCTTCCATAAGCTGGTTCCCCACCTCCTCATCTTCCTCCTCTTCAGGGTGGGCTTCGCCTCCCCCTTCCTCCTGCTCCACTGTCTCCACCTCCCCATTAGCACCAACCTTAACTACCTACACATCAAATGCATTAACTGTTTAGTCTTTAGGTGCTGAAGGAGAAAAAAGGGAAATGAAAAGTGAAATGTGCCCAATGGAATTAGAAGCAATATAAAGTCTCTCTCTCTCATGAACAGTTAAATGTTTCAACAAAAGGCACCTGATATAACTAAATGGTCAGCTATCTCACTGCTTCAGTTGCAGATGACGCATCGCTCTCGCTGTTTTTACTAAAATAGCTGCTCAAGCGGCCGCAGAGCAACCCGCCCGCCAGGATTAGCAGCGGAACTGGGGGGGTTATGGTAGGTTGCAGTCTTTACTTGCACTTTAGGGAGTAAAATGGTCACTCTGTAGAGCCCTGCCAACGATCCCCTTGCACTCCCACAAATGCGACCACATAAAGTTTTAAACTCGGCCACTGTTAAAAAATGGTTGCATATGCGACCAAAATGGTCGCAGTCTGGAACCCGGCATATATTTAAAAATAAATTTAAAAAACAGATATCCTGAGCCCCCGCGACCCTGTGCGCACGATAAGCGGTTGACGATGGATGGATGGATGGATATCCTGAGCCAAGCCTAAGGATCGTTATTGGGGCAGATGTGGGAAATAAATTGTGAGTTATCAGCCAAAGATTTTATATTGCAGTAGAGTAGCTTACTGTAAATCTTAGTGAGTCTTGTCAAACAGAAAGAACGTGTGTGCTGTTATACAATTATGCAACAGCCAAGGAGCTCCCACAGATTATCTACATTTGTAGGGCTCAAGCATGAAACATGAGGTCCCTATTGGAACTGAAGGAATTATTATTTTTAGGGCCTGTGCTAGAAACATGCGAGGTCCCTATTGAAACTGAAGGAATTATTATTTTTAGGGCCCGTGCAAGAAACATGAGAGGTCCCTATTGAAACTGAAGGAATTCTTAGGGACCAGCACAAAAGTGCCAGGGCACCAACGGTGTCCTTGGAACCCTTTTGTTTTTGCTCAGATGTTTGTTTTTTCTTCCTCCTTGAAGAACTCATTTTTCAAGGTCTTAGGATACTTGAATCCAATGTTCTGCAGGGATTGGGGTCAAGCCAGGGGGCTCAATAGCAGCCCCTACAAAATGTCAAAAATGAGGCCCCTGCCATTCGTTGTACCTAGCTGTATGAAACTAGAGTAACCGATGTATCTTCTCCAGACTTAAAAATAAGCCTCTTGGAACCATACCCTAAACCCAACAGGAAGTCGGCCATTTTGAATTATTTACAGTTTTTCCCCATTTACAGGCTCCGCACTTTAACAAACCCCTCCTAAAGCTTTAACTCAATTGACTTCAAATGTGGGCAGCACAATCTTAAGAGCCTTGCGATGTTAAAATGCGACGCTTTTTTTGATCGATCAAATCGCATGTCCATGGCATGGCGTTAAATTGCTGTTTCGCCATGACAAAGGAAGTAGCATGTTACACATGGTAAGATCTGTCCCAAAATTCACAAATAAACCTCTTAGAGACTGACATGTCAATATCCAGTCATTGTGATAGCACCACTAAGTAGCATCTGGAAAAGACGTTTCAAACTTTATTTCTTATGCTTAATTAATACTTTTACCCCACTTAGCACCTTAGCGGACAAGAATGTCCATAGTGAGGCATATGCTTCTCATAGCAGGTTGACCACATTGCCTGGGTGAGTAATTATTTGCAAATACACAGGAAGCTGTTTTTTGGGAGCTATACCCTAAGCCCAACCAGAAGTCAGCAACTTCAAACTGAACTAAAACTGCAAGCAGTTGTAAGCGGGGTCCAAGCCCCCCTGCACCAGTCGCGTCACTCGCCCCGCCGCGGCTTCAGGGGTCCTTGGCGAATAAACGGCCAGAGTTTGAAATGAAAGGGACTTGCTAATACGGTATGTATATGAGAGTGTTATATGATAAACGATTAATAGCGCCACCTAGAGCCCGATCGACACCAAATTTCACACAGCCACTCGGGAGGGCGTGCCAAATAAGCGCAGCGAGTTTGGTGAAGATCGGTCGTTATAAACCTAAGATATGACATAAGCTAACAAATGTTTGCAAAAAAAACCAACTAAAAACAGGAAGTGATAAGTCCAACAGTTTTTCGCATATCAATACGCACAAGCTTGTATGAGCTTCATCCAGAGATGGTCCGTGCCAAGTTTGGTGCCGATCAGACTTGCAGTTTGGGAGGAGTTAATTCAAATAGGTTTTTCGGTTTTCGCGATTTAGTGAAATGAAAACATCATCGCACAAAGTCCTATGCCAAACGAATCGGCAGCATCCCCCAAACAGGTAGATATAAGGTTTTTGAATGTGCGATGTAGTGGCGCATAGTTCTGAACAGGAAGCCGGTTATTTTGGATTTAATGGTCATTTTTGGCAATTTACACACATCTGTTTGATCTTGTGCGGCTAAGTCCTAACTAAAGCAGACCTGCGCTCTTCCTACTCATTATTTGTCTAGGTTTGACCTAAAAAAAATCATTCAAACTTTTGACCAAAACTGAATGGATTTATAAAGCCAAGTGCGTTTCTGCCAGGGGCCTAAAAACAACAGGTGATGCAGTTGCTAATTTTCAAATGTAGTCACAGATTAGTGCTATATGTTTAAGTTAAGTTAAAAAGAATGATTATGTCTGTTCGTGTACCTGAAAGCCCTCAGGCAGAGGCAAGGTGTGGCAGATAACCGGGTCTCCGTCCTTTGGCATAGCTGTTGTGTCTACAAACGTGCCTTGTTGCAGGGCCTCTACAGTGGTGGCAGAAACAGGCACCTGGACCAGCTGAAGCTCCCCCAGACCTAAAGCCGCTTGCTCCTCCATGTTTACCACCTGGGGACAGAGAGAACCTGAGTTCAGCACACATCTCAGGATTTCTACGGGGTATCTATAAAGACAAATTCAAGACCTGAGAGGGGATACGAACATCTGAGGATTTTACTTCTTAAAGGTTTACAGACAGCTTGTGAATCCATCTTCCCCCCAAAAGAGATGAAAGATGAATTAACTGAAAGAAGCTATGATGTGAGATTGCTTCAAAAGAGCAACTACCTGTAGTGTGATGATTTGAGTCTGGTCCACTGTTGTTACAGTTGCTTGGTGAGCAGCACCCGCTACCCCTCCAACAACACCCACAGTCGCTGATGATCCCCCGACTGCAGCATCGATCACCTGCAAATCAACTTAATTTCAGCGGGCTGTTAAATGAAATTTTGAGTGAAGCAACACCATCTGGCAGACATTTTAGGTGTCCTTAGCTCTAGACTGACATCAGCATAAATGCAACATTCTTGTGAGACCAAGCCTGCTTTGGCTACCAAGAGTAACTATCATGGTCACATGGTCAGCTTACCTCAGTCTTCATCTGTAACAGGGTAGGATCCAGTGAGTCCATAACCATCATTTCAACCCCTGCTCCACCTTCCACACTAACTCCCACCCCAGCTTCCATCAGCTGCTGCTGGGTGGCTGCTACCATTCCTTCCCCGTGACCTGAAACACAACATTGCTGGGAATAAAACATCTGACTCTATTCTCCACAAAAACAATGGAAATCTAGACTACTTTGTGCTCTTTTTCTTTTTTAAGTGTGGACAATTTATTGTCCAATTAGTATGAACCTTGATCCAGGAGGACTCCAGCTTGTCCGTCTACTACGGCCCCGGCCTCTGCAGCTTGCTGTAGGAGATCAGCCACCATGGCATCCTGGCTGTGAACGGCCTGGATGGAGGGGAAGTCTTTGGCAGAGACCTCCACCCCCCCAACACCCTCTGTTGGCCCTCCGTCCATGCTGGGTAGGAACTGAAATAATGGCGTTGTGGAAACAAACATTATGTAGCAGTGTACTACATCACCACCTTGATTTTTAAGTGATCGACTGGAATAGGTTTGCTTTAGGATAGTGGTTTTCAGTCTTACACAATGGGAAAATGTGTATTGTAATAATATTGGCTGACGGGGCTTAGTTTCGCACTGTGCTTTGAATCTCAGTCCCTTTGATTGCCATCTTTGGTTGTCTGCGGTCAATTTCACTATTCATCTCGGGACTGGGACGGGACAGGAAATGAGCCAACAGGATCAGGTGGGAAGAGAATCACAGGTCAGTTTTTTATAGATCTTCGCAATTTGGATTATTGTGGAAAATATTGCGATATAATGGAACAAATGGTGCTATGAGTCTACTTGCTTGATTATCAAGGAAAATGCACAAAAATACTGAAATTTTGAAATGTTTATTTCTCAACTTGAACAAAGAAGAAGAACAAACATCAGAAGCTGCCACCAGTCCAAAAATACTGATTTTGCCTCATTGTAAACATTTTTTAAAACACTCATCACAGAAAACTCTACTGTGACTGCTGCATTGCATAGTTTTTGAACCACAGACAGACACACAACACACCAGCAGCACCAAAACAATCCACTGCAGACTTTATGTAAACAAGATTATTGAAAAATATTAATAACAATTCCTTTAGTAAAACATATGTAAAACAGAACAAGGAGAGAGTGTTGCTCTCAGGAGCAGGCTGCTAGAAGCAGCTCATGTTGGCACAATGGCATCCTGACTCTGGCTAAATCTACATCTGTCCACTGCAGTGGCTCTATCCACATCCTGGAGGAGGAGACCGTGTAAATGAGTGTATTAGTATAATAGTATAACATTAAATAAAACTTAATATCTTAATTACTATATTGATTATAATTTCATATAGTAGTATACTATGTTACCCCTAGTTGAATATTAAATCCAGTTAAAACAGTTCCATGTCTGTGGGTTGTTTTTGTTCATTAAATCCTTGTGCAGAAAATAACTCTTCATTGGTCTCTAATTTGATTCATCTAATCGAACGTCAAGAATTAAACTTTTTTTATGCTCCGCCCCATCCTTCGGTTCAGCTGCCTTCGATGCCGGTATTTCTCCTGGTGCTCCGCTGGCCATTGTTTTGAAGGATTGGCGGCAGGGCCTACGGTAGGTTGATAAATATTTTTTGTGGTTCGCACATATCTGTTTTCAGGGCACGTTTGAGAGCCCGTGTGGCCGTGGATAATGAGCAGACTGTAGCGCACAAAGAGACGAGAGGATCACACACACAGCACACTTTAAAAAAAAAAATCGCGATTGCAATTGCAATTAGATTAATTGTGCAGCCCTAGTTTTTTATTTGTTTTAATATTGTCTAAAACACTACTTGTGTTACCTGGAGAAGCAACGATAAATTAACTGTTTTCATCATTTCTGTAGACTGGGCTGCAGTCTGCAGGGCTGTCATACAGGTGGATCTCCTTTTTGCTTTGTGGCTCCCTGAGCTTTGCTGAGTCAAATGTCTGCTACCTGACTGTCCCTGTCAACCTGAGGGAGGGAAGAGGGACAGTTACACAGCTGCACTGAGATACTTCCTTCACATACAGACACACTCACTCACTCTAACAGCCTGACAACTTCTCTGCAATGTTACCTGTTCTGTACAAGACACATGTGCTCACCTGAGGCTTCAGGCTGCTACCTGACTGAAAAACCTGCAAGAGGGGAGAGGGAATACATCACCACAGTGTGATGGGCAGATACATTCATTCTGCTATTATGTGCTTCCATGGCGGCTCCTTTTTTCTCTTTTTATTCTCCCAGCTCAGCAACTGAGAATGGCCCAGTTCTCTCGAGTCTACTATCATGACCAAGTGATAGTAATTGAAGTGGAAAATGTGATCACTCAACATACAGATCACTCATACAAGTGAGTGCTCTTGTTGTCAATCCAACTTCAATTAAACATGCAGTTGAGGGGATACCCTCAAACACCTTGCACTCACACAGTGCCTTCCTTATTAGGTAGAACTGCTTTACATGACACGGATAGGACAAGCTGATGAAAAAATATGACACGCACTGATCGATTAGCCTAGCTGGGGACAGGAATGAAACACATTAATGAAATTACATTAACGTTGTGCACATCCTTACAAAGACCTGCCTCATCAACCTCCTGGATCAAGCACTCGGCAGATGCAAAAAAGTACTGTGGAATGTTTGGGGTGTATACGTGTAGCCTATGTAAATAACTGTATATACTGTTTTATTGTATTTGTTACCATATTTTAATATAGGCCTACACTTAATATGTTGTGTGTGTAGCATGAAGGAACTACAAAATACGTTTTGTTATGCAGCCTTGTGCTGTATAATGACTAATAAACAACCTTGTACCTTAATCAGAAGGCTGCGATTCGATTATAAAACGATTATCGATGCATATTGATCATATTTTTCTATACAGGATCCCTGGATAATTACTAAGCATTTAATTTGTGCATTAAAATCCAAAAGAAACATCTCCTAATTAGCTTAATGTCGCTTTTCCATTACCAGTACCAGCTCAACTCGCCACGCCTCGTTTTGGCTGTGCCCCGTTTTCCATTGCAGATAGTACCCAGAGATATTACGTAGCTTGTTGTCATAGCGACGCCACACACAACTGCCGCGACATAATATTCAATGCGACACACACCAGCGATCCACACAGCTTTCTCTTTTTAAAGTTAAAACGTTTAACACTCCTCAGAATGTAAAGACAGATAAGCGGTATGAAAACCTTCCAGCTGTGTTTTCCTCTGCCGTTGTTGCTGCAGCGGTCTGTGTGACGGCGGGAGCAGAGGGCTCTGTGAGCGGGCGGCTGGCCGGCCTCACACGTTCCTCCCGCGGGTTGGCGCAGGCTTCCCCCACAGTCACTTCCTCAACTCCGAAAACTTTCAAGCACATTTTTGTTCCGCCATCACTTCTCGTAAAACTGTCAATATCCAAAATCTACACAGCTGATTTCTCACCTCAAAACTTCTCAGAAGTGGATTTAGTGATGAAATTCCCTACGAAAACTGTAAAATATAAACTTTCTGTTGCTGGCCTCTGTCTGGTGAACGCAATGATGATGCAGTGAATAGTGATTCTCTCTGACCAATCAGCAGTCTGTCCTGTTTTCACGTTGCATTTTAGTTTCCCTCAGCTCGCTTGGAACTTCGACGGAGGTGATACAAAAAAAAGTACCTGGAAGCAGGTACAGGTGCAACATTTCTACAATGGAAAACGAGTCAAGGCGACTCGAGCTGGTACTGTGCAGTGGAAAAGGAGCTATAAAGCACTAGTTTGCATCCCTAATTTACTTTATTAACCTCAGCTCCAGCAGCCTGTTGCACAAGTGACGCAAGTTCTACCTTAAGTTAGGGTGCAAAGTCCACACTAAACAATACGTTGAAACTAGTTAGTTTGAGACTTAAGCTGTGTTGATGTTTGGTTGCACCACCAAGACGTAAGGTGCATCTTAGCTACTCTGGCATAAAGTCCATACTCATCAAAACAGTGTCGCAGAAAATGACGTTTACACATCCCATGGCCAATCAGTGAACAGCACTATTCTTAACAGAGTTTATTACGGTTGTGTCATCTGTTTGATAACTATGAAACCTTAATCTACAGCTAGTCTCACAGTGACATCGAGTGGTAAAACCGTTAACTACAACATACACGTAATTTAAAACGGTGCCTGTAACGAAAGGTAAAGTATAACGGGATGAAATTGTAACATTATAACTTATATACACGTAGGAGCCATTATCCCCCTCATATTTCAAAATCTATGTTTTGTCCCCCCCCCCACTTTTCTCCAGCGATTTCAGAGTTGGCTAGGCGAGAAGGTTTACTATGAGTGGCTAGTCAATCAATCACTCCACATCAGACATAATTAAACGGCTGAAACGCGGACAAAAATCGTGTAAGTTAGGCCTATAGAAAACATCCGACACAACGCAAAGGAGATGCTGAAAAGTAACGCATATTTGCAAAATAAATACAGTAAGGAAAATAAGTATTTGAACACCCTGCTATTTTGCAAGTTCTCCCACTGGGTCTGAAATTTTCATCGTAGGTGCATGTCCACTGTGAGAGACATACTCTAAAAAAAAAAATCCAGAAATCACAATGTATGATTTTTTAACTATTTATTTGTATGAATATTTGTAAAAATATCCATGATTTCTAAGTGGGAGAACTTAAAATAGCAGGGTGTTCAAATACTTATTTTCCTCACTGTAAATAAAAATAAGTCATTGCCTTTTCACGTTCCTTTATTATTTATATTTTTACTCTTTAATCCAATATTTTCTTTGGGCTAATAATCTACTCTTAATTTTGCTACATTTTCAATTCATAACTTAACTAGTCTGTGATCTGTATTTTGCTTCATTAACCCAAAATGAGCTGTCATCCAGGCTGTGTGCGCTCGGTTACGCAGAAGAGCCCGATGTAATTTGCTCCTCCTGATCCCAGTCACCCCCCCCTTTCAAAACGATGCGCCATGACTTGACTATTTTATGGAGGACTTTACACCTATTAAGGACTAGGTGTAAGATTTAATTTGTAACTTATGTCTACGCTGGAGGTATTTCAGCTGGTGCAACCCTTAAAACGTTAGTAGCACATAAACGCCGACTTAAGTTAGAAATTAAAATTACGTTCGAAATTACGTTCAAACTAGGCTAAGTTTGAACTTACACATAGTTGGTGCAACCCAGTGCAGGGTCCTGCATTTCTTTAACAACCAGTTGTCAGACTCCTCTGAAAACTGAAAAATAATTATAAGGACATACAGGATGTGTACAGGACAGAGCTGTACACCAGTTTAGTCTAAGCTTGTACCTGATCTTCTCAATACTTGACTAGTAGTTTAGCTAGGAATGACATACAGCTGATAATTAATATTACTTTTTTACTAATTTAGCTAACGTTACATAAATAAATAAATATTTTTAGCGCCTTTCTCGGGACCCAAGGACGCTTTACACATAGTTACAGTGACAGAACAACAAAAAGTCATTCAGGATCGAATGCCTTGGTAAAGAGCTGGGTTTTTAGTAGATTTTAGAAAGTGTCAGACAGGGAGCATTTCAGATCCCTGTGGGGATGAGTTCCAGAGGGTGGGGGCTGTGACGCTGAAGGCTCTGTCCCCAAAAGTTCAGATCTGGTGTGGGGGACAGAGAGCAGGACCTTGTACAGAGGAGATGTTAGCTAGCGCTAACAGCCTTTACTTTTCCAGCAGTTGGGAAAACTACAGACTTTTATTAACGGACACACTGTGACCTACACTGCACGTTTAGTACCAGGCAGAAACTTCGGCATCGCATTGCATCTAAGAAACGATTATTTCTCCCACCCCTGTGCCAAATTATTATCTTAATATACAGTATAGATAATACTGCATAAAATAAATATAAAATCAAAACTAGAATATTTTTACTTTCTGCTACATCAATAGTAGATGTTTTAACACTGCTGGTTTTAAGCTCTCTCTTAATATAGTCAATGAGACAAGTAATGCCATTTTAAAATATTCAACAATAAGCATTCAGACAAAAACAAAGTATTAAAATGGCAGTCAGTCATTTTTACTTTGAGTGTATTTAATTAACAGTAAAAGTGGCCCATCGTGTTGCTAGATGTACGTATAAAATGCATAAGGGTTATAATTGCATACGGTAGCTGGTTCTATGAATACTTCATCGTCTATCTACTGTGAGGCAGGACCCCCAAAATGATCCTGCTCTATTTGACGGTAATTAGCAGCAGACCGGCGTTGTTGTTGGTTGTGTCCCACTTAAATAGGTCCCCGGTGTACCAAGGTATCAAAAATCGTGTAACACTCTGATTAGAGGCGTTCATTGGTTTTTGTTTATGTTCTTTTCATGTTACTTGTGTTTGATTGGCGTAGATTTGTAAGGGTTGGGAGTTAGAAGGAGAATGATTCATAGACTCTATAACAAAATATTGATTGTAGAAAGTGAACAGTCTTAAGTTGAATGATAAAGCATGATTAATAGTGAGCAGTGATAAAATTTAAGATGAATGATTAATAAGCATCTCCTAAGTTTATAAAACAATTTACTGTTATGTTTTACGCACATTTAATAGCAATAATATAATTTTGTTTCAAATTTCACTGTGGCTTATCTAAGTTTGTATTTGACATAATACCTTATTATCTAAATTAAAAGGATGGAAACAAATGTGACACAAAAGGAAATTTATTATTTTGGCCGGTGGATTTTTTTCTACCAGCCACCTTGGCAGGAGAGCCAAAAAGTTAATTTCCACCCCTGATCTGCATCATCTAAACACTGTGTAGATCACTGACTAAAACTATTCGAATATTGAGTCAAACTGTGATTGAGCCCTTTGACATATTCTACCTTACTGCCACTACTTACAGCAACATGACTCATATTTAATTATTTAAATCAACAACTACAGAACCTAATAGATGGACTCTGACATGTAGTCACTGTATTCACTCAACTCATATATATATATATATAGACAAGGAGTGTAATACCTTCAGGGCCATGTTTGTGTCGATACCGAAGATGTGTTTGTTTACAGGTTTCCATGTCCACTTTACGTTGCAAAGTGCAAAGCTGGGGTGGCTCTAGTATAATGTTAGGCTTCATAGATAGCGTGACTTGGTAACGTTATAACAAATTTTCCCCAACAGGGCAATTATACTAAGCATCCAGCCTGGCAGATGTCGCCTCTTTGCACAGCATTTCTAAAGCGGTATTTTTGTAGCTCTCCAAGCCGAATCGTAGAGGGAGCTCTCTGCTATAATATATATGTGTGGCTATGATGCTCTAGGTGGGCTTAGTATAAGAGACAAGCGGGCGACGGGTGCAACAACAACTGCCAATTCGGACCGAGGCGCGATGGTAGAAAACCAGAAGACAAATGCAATAACGTTTCTCGACAATGGAAGATGGCTGATTATGGGAGAACACAAATCGTGTATTTAGTGTTAGTGAGACAGTGGCCACTGGGACCACCAGTGACCGTTTTGCTGTGAATGCCTTGTCATTCTCCTTTCCGCGCTGGCCTTAACAGTTTCAGTTTCCTTCGCCACCGGGAAAGCTAATGTTAACTGAACTGATTGATTTCAGTAATAGTAAGCAACTAGCTAACGTGACTAATTTGAAAGACTAAAAACGAACGTTTGCTCTGAGTATGTTGGTGGACTGCGCCTCTTTCAGCCGTAACGTTACTAAAGGCATTGGGGTGGGGAATTCCGGGCCTTCGCTCAGAGCTAAACTAAGTTGCTAACGCCCGTTGTTACATTGCTTTTTCTTCAAATGAAGGTCTACTTTAACCTTATGTAACACAAATTGACATGAGCTGGGCAAATGCGACTCTTATTTGTTTACACTCTCGTAGTAATTGTATCGTGCATGCATGAATGTTTGTGTTACTTAGCGTATATTAATGCAAACCAGCTAACATTAGCTATGGGCGATAAGTTAAACCCGCCAGTTCCCATGTCGTCAAGGCTGTAAAGACGGGAAACAAAGAAGCGAGAAAATGGACGCCTCGGCCTGAACTCTCCAACCAAATCGTCGAAGTATTCATAACTTATACTCGACGATATATTCATAGATACGTGTAAAATACATCGGGTTGTGTATACATTTATTAGAACTTCGGTTATTTAAACGTATTTTGACGGGTTTTTCAATAACGATAGAGGGAGACAAACACTCTCCGACGAGCTGCCCGGACCCAGAGCCCCATCGTGACACCTAGAGGCCGATTAAAGATCCTGCAAACTCCCCCCTTATCAGAAAAGTAGTGATACTTTACCTCTTTGTGGTGTGATTCTCTTCCCGTTTAACTCGGCCGAAAGCAGAGAGTCTGAGCTACAAAGTTTATCAGGCTGGTAAGAAATGCAGGCTTCTTCGCAGTTTGTTTTAATCCCTCTCCCGCTTTAGCAGAGTAGCCTCTGCCACAAAATGGCAGTTGGGAGCTCAGTGCGCCTGTGCGGCCGCTGGGGGGTGGTGTCGAAGCTGCTGCAGACACCATGATTGGCCAGGAGGGGCGCCCCGTTGGAATACATTGAAGGACCATATCACAACGTTGCTAGTAGGGCTGCTTTCACGACCCTCGGAGATGTGAGCTTTACTGTCAGAAAATGATCTCGACACGTCAGTCTATATTGAAATTAAGCATAGTAAGAAATAAATTATATTAATATGAAATAAACCAAACTACATTTTTTTAAATGACGTGAGTGCATCTGTTTAATGTCATGATAAATTGTTATAGTTTGGTTTGTGGATAATAATGCAGCATTTGATTTGCTGTATAACTTAGCATAAAGTCGCACCTATGAGTCACCAGGACACCCAAATGATCATGAAGTGGATATCTGCAAAAATATTTACAGTAACAAAAGTCATATTGTGAATTTGCCCTCATGTTCATGCGGACAGCATGATTTGTATGTGCAACTCATGGTATAATTAAAAAACAAACAATGGCACAAGACAATTTTAAACACATTTTTAATAGTACATATGAAGAATGCCTTAGAAAAGAATAAACATTTTGTATCCAATGCTGCACAATTACTCAAGATTGTTGAAAAAAATATATATATATATGTTTGTGCTGCAGTGGTTTCCCACTGCTTCACACTCTTCATTCTTCAAGAAAGTATCTCATCTATGTCTTATTGCACCTGTGTAACTATCAAACCTTGAGGCACTTAAACACTGAGATGCTGTATGGATGCAGAGGTATAGCTGTAGATTTTTGCTGTCTTAACTAATAATGGTAAATGCATGGAATACAGTGGTAGCCATCAGTGTCGAATCCCCCCCCCCCACCGACATCAGTCCTGTATTAGAATTCCAGTGACACTGACACTGCTTGTCGCTGCTGTATTAAAGACTTAAACATCCACTCAAACTATTACTTAGTACAATTTCATATTTTTGAGATCTGTCTCTCATAATTATGAGAAAATCTCAAAATAAAGAGATCCAATTTGATTATTATGAGGGAACTATCTTGTAAGTACAAGGTGATTTTTAACAATTATAAATCTTGTAATTATGAGTTAAGTCACAATTATAAAAGGTACATATATTGTAATTATGAGGTCAATAATTACAAAATAAGGTATTCAGTGTTTTTCTCTGGGGAATGTAAATGGCATAAACATGGAAAACCTCTGGTATCGCCTTAATTTATGATTTTATGTCTGGGACTAATTTATTTGAAATTCAGTCTAGTTCTACTATAAATGATTCCTATTAAAATGTTTCAGGGTGCTAGTACTAACTCAACAGAGACATATGGAAAATCTTATTCTTTCTAAAAGGCAGAGATCTTTAGTGATTTACCGTTGGAGGTTCAACTGTTATTGATCTAAATATAAAGTGCTGATCCCAGACCTGGACTGATCTTTGTCTACTCAGTGATCTGTCTACCTGCTCAAAAGACAAAGTCCTCCACAGCTGTCTGTGACAGTAATGCAAATAATCAGTGACTCCAAACAGAATTTCCCATTTACAGCAGATGTGTAAGTGGTACAGTTAAGTACCACAGAAAGTGGTGTCATTCAGTGAATCTATTCATCAAATAAATTGGTTGGATGACAGAAAATAAAACAAATCAATCATTAAAACAGTTAAGATGCATTTCATAAAACAAAGTATACATTTACAAATTAAGACTCTGCTAAGATAAAACTATTTACAATCACAGATTGAATTGAATTCCAGTGGCATATAGTCAAATGTTTTTCCATAAAGAATAATTGTGAAGAGTAATGGCACTGAATTGCTTAAATCATTCTCTGTGCAGAAGCATTTTAACATGTTTTCTACAGTCCTAAACCTTTATACTGAACTGCAGTGTAACATCACCGCCTGCGAGACAAAGCTTTCGCTTTTTATCTTTGACTTTGGAAGACAGTTCACAGTTAATAAGCCAGCAGCAGTGTTGCAGATATGGGATAGAAAGCAGTCTTTTCAGTTATCTGTGATAGTATGCTGCTGGTAATGACTGCAGCTGTTTGTGCTTCTGAATCTATAGTATCCAGAGCACCCTCCCTGCCTCTCACCCACAATATGGCATCCTGAGCAGTTCCAGGTCCATGTGATAGAACATACAACATATTTTCAAATCGAATCCACAAATAAAATCCATTAAAACTTTCATTAACTTCTTTAGCTCCCCTTCTCCTCCAAACAGTCCTATGACCTACAGGACACTCTGAGGTCAACCTAACCAAATTATCTTGATGCTCACTCTATGATGCAACAAGTTCAACTCAGTAGGAACAAGTACTAGTTTGCATTCAAAAATAAGAATCTTCAAGATGTATTCTATATTTGTTTAGCGGTCAGACCGCTGAAGCCTCGTTCTGACATAAGAATGCATTTTTGCACGAAGGCAGGACTGTGTATTTTGTACTCCATCTCTTAATCTCGTATGCTTCAAACAAATAAAGTGGTTGTCACTCTTACAGCATTTGAAACCCACTTTGCGTCCTACAAGTTTAGTAGTTTCTTAACCTCATTGCCTGACAATCACACCCACCTCATGCAGTGATTGGCCTTGTGTTTGGAGGTGTTTCTTCACACTTTGTGTGTAACAAACAGGTGCAACAACATGAATGCCTGAAACTGTGCAACATTATCCCTATTTGTACAGTTCATTGTGTCAAGACCACAGATATACACAAAACACAGAGTTCTTGGAGAGAGATCAGAGAAGCATGGGGATGCAGCAAGGAGGTTATGATGGCAGGCTTTTTACACCACCTCCAAGTGAGGCCATTCAGAACAGTTAGTCAGATGACACATTGTACAAAGTAGTTTGTTTGAAGTCAGGCTACAAAGCAGTCATGCTACAAAGCTCATAGTCATAACATAGAGGAACAATGACTACGGTAACCACTAATGCTAAAGTCAAATAAGAGATTTGAAATATATCCACACTTATCCTTTAAACCAATACTTCAGTGATGTTTCTGTCCCTATGGATCGAATGAGTTCACTGTCTCAATAGTCAGTTGTTCCTGCAATGAAAATATATGGACATGAATAAAGTCAGAATATCTATATTTTAACAACAAAGCAATGCTTTTTCACTAATCACAGTCTCTATGCAGCAATCAAGTGTGGGCACGGTGACTTCCTCTACAGTTTCACTGTATCCATGCTGGAGTACAGCATGTGGAGTGTGGAAAGTCAGGGGTGTAGTACTCAAGTCTGGTCTCAATCTTTAGTCTGGTCTTGAAATGTGTTTTCAATTATCTCTCAGTCGTGTGGGTGTGATTGCCTTCTAGCTGCCTGTAGTTCTGCTGTCAGTTCTCCAGAGACACTAAATTCTTAACTGTGTCAGTGACAAGTACTTATTAAGTCACTCACTTATTTGTATCCTTGCCATGTTTCAACCAAGCATCCTCATTTTAAACATGGAGGTTTGTGCATATACTGTATATGTGGACAGCATAATACTATTCAAATACTATTTGATTATTTATAAGAGTAGTTATCAGAAATCACGGTTAGCAAATAAAGCAATGTTTAGGCAGATTTACAAACAATGAGACAACAGCATGGAGAATAGTGAACGGGCACCGTATTTTTTTGGTCTTGGTCTTGATTTGGTTTCATCTGGACTTAATCTAAAAACCATTCAGACTTCAACTTGTCTTAAGTGTTCTTGACTATTCATAGTCTTCACGTGACGTCGCATTTGCTGTGATGTGGAAAACACTCCCTTGGAGGGCACAAAAGACGTTATTTTCCGCTGCCTGCCAACCAGGAAACAAGTGACACACTGTTACTTTCAGTTTGTTACTTTTGCGTTGCCAAAATGCTGGATGGTTGTAATCGAGGAGGAGACAAGCCTGAGCTGTGTTAGGTGAGGGATTCCCCGGAAGGTCAAAATAACATAACCGCAGCTGAGTGCAGTGGCAGGGACCTGGCGGTTTTTAACGGTAGAAATGCTGCAGCGGATGCTGTAACGTTGCAGTTTGTGTTCATATCATTCTTTTTCTTAAGATGTAAGGTGATCCAAATACTGGCTTTAAACCGAAAATGTCGGCCCTCCAGGTCACCGCGCATGTCACGTGACTGAAAACTATGAATAGTCTTGGTGCAAGTAGCCTACTGCAGACAGGTAACCATAGCTATCAGGCAACATTTTAAATCAACAAGCATAATTAGAGTCAGTCGCTATAGTAAAGGCAGAACTGTTTGAGATTCATTCATATTCAGTTTTCAGTCATGTCAGTTCACAGAACAAGCTGTCCATCTGGAGCAGGATTGTTCAAAAAACCTATTAGTCTAAACTAGAGAGAGCAGTATCCATTCAGAAAAGTGGTTTTAAACAATGGTAGGGTTAGCATTCTGTGTAATGGGATATTTACTCTGTATGCCTACTGTTTCATCATGTCAAAGTCAAAACCACAGAGAGCCAAAGTAATAAAACGTATCACAAAGACAAGAAACTCAACATTTTGTACATTTTTGGGTACTTAGTAGGCTCTAAATATGGAAATCATCAAACAAAGTGACTTTAAATAGCTTCTAGACTACTTTTAATAATGAATTTCATTCATGACTGCAATGGCAAAGAGTCTGTCCAGCAATTTGACTTGAAAATGACTCAAGCCAACACAGACATGTTCCTCCCTGCTCTCTTAACTCCTCCACATCTTCTTCCTTCTGTATATCCTTTTCATCCATCTACTTCTCCCTTTATCCATCCTTCCATTCAAGCCTGCTCACATTGTACAGAACAGTTAGCACAGGCTGATAAACATAATCCTGTTTGTAGCTTACAGACTAGTATTTGCCCAGTGTTGAGTGGAGTTGCTGTCTTTGATGAGTTTTATTTCAACCTCTCTGTCAGTGTATTTACTGTGTATCATATATTATATTTGTCTTTGCACGCGTCAGTCAATAATATGGTAGAATAACAGCATTCTGTATATTCTCATGACA